CGGCTGCCAGGGTCAGTCGGTGGGCTCCTACACCGATTCCGCTGGTCTGGAGGTGGTCCGTCGCCAGGTGGCCAACTACATCGAGAAGCGGGACGGCGGCATCGCCTGCGACTGGCTGAACATCTACCTCACCGCCGGCGCCTCGCCCGGAATCAAGAGCATTCTCTCCATGATCAAGTAGGTGTCCAAGCCAAGGCCAACGAAATTCCGGAAAACATTTTTTATGGCCCAAAGATAAGAGGCTTCTTTGGTGGCTATCTTTTAATGCCAGAGATATGCCTCTTAAATCTCTTTTTTTGGCAAAAGTAGTTAAAGTTTTAGGTAGAACATTTCTGGAAGGTGGTAGCAAGGAGAGATAAATGCCAGATGATTGTTTTGAGATTTGAAATGATTGTTCATATTATAGTGCCACAGATATGCGGCTTATATATTTTTGTTTTGGCAAAAGTGACCCCGTTTGGGCAGCGAAGTTATGAAATATGATACTTACAAAGATCATTAGTTTGCCATTTGGATATTACACCAGACAACATTAATTAATTGATTGATTAATTGGAATTGATTTTAACTTCTATTTTTTTAAGAGGCTAACTTTTCTTTAATCGATATTAGAAATAAAGAACGCTTAAATCAGTTGTTATAGACAGCAATTATGAAACAAGAAATGTTAATTTTGTAATTGATAAACACAACTCAAAAAACGTTACCAAAAAGAAAATTAAATTTAAGTACCATTGATTTATGTTCAATGCTAATGATCCATTTCCACACTTTCAGCTCCGAGGTTGATGGCAAGCGGCCGGGTGTGATGGTGCCCATTCCGCAGTACCCACTGTACTCGGCCACCATCTCGGAGTACGGCATGGCCAAGGTGGACTACTACCTGGAGGAGGAGACCGGCTGGAGCCTGGGCAGGCAGGAGCTGCAGCGCTCCTTCGACGAGGCGAAGAAGACGTGCAATCCGCGCGCTCTGGTCGTGATCAATCCCGGCAATCCCACCGGCCAGGTGCTCACCCGCGAGAACATCGAGGAGATCATCAAGTTCGCGCACGAGAACAAGGTCCTCCTGCTGGCCGATGAGGTGTACCAGGACAATGTCTACGACAAGAACTCCAAGTTCTGGTCGTTCAAGAAGGTCGCCTACGAGATGGGCGAACCCTACCGCAGCCTGGAACTGGTCAGCTTCCTGTCCACATCGAAGGGTTATCTCGGCGAGTGCGGCATTCGCGGCGGCTACATGGAGGTGCTGAATCTCGATCCCAAGGTGAAGGCCATGCTGACCAAGTCAATTACGGCGGCCCTGTGCAGCACCACCGCCGGCCAGGTGGCGGTCAGCGCCCTCGTCAATCCCCCGCAGCCCGGCGAGCCGTCCTACGAGCTGTTCAAGAAGGAGCGCGACGCCATCCTGTCCGCCCTCAAGGAGCGCGCCGAGCTCGTCCACAAGACGCTCAGCAGCTTCGAGGGCTACACGGTCAATCCCGTCCAGGGCGCCATGTACGTCTTCCCCCAAATCGAGATCCCGCCCAAGGCCTGCGAGGCCGCCAAGGCCAAGGGCATGGCCCCCGACGTGTTCTACGCATTTGAGCTGCTCGAGACAAGCGGTAAGTCTATCACTTTCACTCTTTTGAAAAATATGATATGAACTTTTTAATATTCTTTCCAAGTTCCAAATACTTATATCAAGATCAAACTGATTCAATTAGTGTAGAAGTTATTTAGGAAACAACTTTAAATATTCTGGAATTGAAATCCAAACAAGACAAGCTTGGTCACTGATTCTATAAATTGTTTGTGTAACAAAGAAACTTTGCTGACTTTAATTGATTCAAACCTATCGTTGAAATTTTAATTATTCAATATCAAACTAGTATCAGTTTAAAATATCAAAATGGACTATAAGATCATATAAGTTGTATAGTTCTTCCAATGATTCTAATCCTTCTGTTTTTTCTTCTATGTCCACAGGCATTTGCATTGTTCCTGGCAGTGGATTCGGCCAAAAGCCCGGCACCTGGCACTTCCGCAGCACGATCCTCCCGCAAACGGACAAACTGAAGCTGATGATGGAGAAGTTCCGCGTGTTCCACGCCGACTTCATGAAGAAGTACAAGTAGACCACATCCTGCATCCCCAAATCCCTGTGTTAAAAAGTGTCGATCCTCCGGCTTAGGATTAAAGTATAATATATACCTTATTTGTTTTTTTTTTTCTCACTCTTTGTTACTGTGTCATAACTGGAATGCATCTTTACAATGATTTTTATATACAAATATATATAAAAAATGTGTAAAACTGTTGAATCCTCTGATTTGTAATCCTATCCTGCACAGGTTTCTATATCTACGATCACGTTTCCAGTTAGCAATTAGCCCACTTGTTGAATTTCCCTAAATTATAATCGCGTAAATGTGTAGACCTTGATCTTTATTGAATTAATTCTCCTGGCGGAGAAGTGACAATAATTTTTTGTTGGCGCCAAAAGGTGTTTACTCCTCTGGCCGGCGCTAAATTGAAAACTCTGATATTGTTCTAGACGAAAGTTATTTGCTTTGCGTAAACGTTTACATATTTATCTACATAAATATATCCCTGCATGTGCTTATCCCGAATCGATCACGGAAACATACAATGTGTGTGCGTTACAGTCATTACTAATTGTTATAGAAAGGAAAAAAAATGATATTAAATAAATATTATTGTTAAAGAAGAAGTGGATTGTTTTTCTATTCGGAAATTGGGAAGGTAATGGAACTTATATGGGAGGATTTCTTTAAAGATCATTAAACTATTATCCATTAGCATTTAAACAGCTGCAAACTTTTAAGGAACCATCCAAACCATTTCAAAATAAACAAGACCATTAAAAGCTTGGTTTGAAATTATGTTCAATTTATTGATTCTCATTTCACGACTTAATTACTTGCACTTCTTCAACTTTATATAGTTAGTTCTTACGCTTTCTCTCCATCCAATTTTCCCTTAGACATTTTGTGTTGCGACAGATTCGGAGGGAGAAAAAAAAACGAACATGCGGGGTCCCTTGATGTGAATCGCAATTACCTTCGAACATTCTCGTTCAGATCGTTCATCGAATACCTCACTCTTTGTGTGTTGTAGTTGTTGGTTGCTGCTTTACTTGTTCTCTTCAATTAAAATCTACCAAAGTCTTAAAGTCTAAATACCAATATGTACCGTAGTTGTACTGTGGCTATACTTGCGATCCGTCCAGATCGGAGATGGCTGGGTTGTGTGGTGGTCTTTTGTGGAGTTGCTCGTTTGTTTTTTGTTTTTTTTTTCCTTTTTTTTTCTTTTTGGGGAGGGGACATATGGGACGAATTAAGGAATCTGTGGCGCTCTTTTCGTGGGGGCAAACAGATACATTTGGCCCCAACAATGTGGCTTTGTTATATATCTTTCTATATATATATATATATATGTATATATACGTTTATAAGTAGGGTTTGTGTTGTGTGTAGTCCGGATCGGAGCTGCTCCTCGTTATCCTCATCTAATGACGGTCCCTCGAATCCGAGCGGCTGCGGCGATCCCGTGAAAAGCTGCGACTGCGTGTCCTTGAGCGGCGGGGTGAGCGGGATCTGCAAGTAAATGGGTGGCGTTCGGGGGGAGGAAACCAATTGTGGCACCACCGCACACAGACAGGATACAGAGAGATTCGAGAGCGAGAGAGTGGGGAGAAAGAAAGAGAGAGAGAGAGAGAGAGAGAGAGAGAAAGAAAATACAAATTAAATAGTTTTTGCACTAAGGCGTAACTTAACTAGGCGTGTAGTAAGATTTAACAATTCCTTAAGATACGTAAAGTTGATATAGTGGTCTCGATCAAACAACACACAACTTTTGGGCTGACGGATCTGGTGGATCGGATACGGATCGGAGAGCTGATATTGGAGCTTCAATTTGAGCTGAGCTGAGAGCGGAGAGCTGGTGGCTGAAGGTGCTTGAAGGTGGTCATTTTTTCATATATATATATATATATATATATATTTTTTTTTTTTTTGGCCCCATTTTACGAAAGCGTTGGTGTGACATTTACATAAAGTAATTGGTGGTGGTTGGTTGGATTGGTTGGCTGATTGGTTTGTTGGTAGGTTGCTTAGTTGGTTGATGAGCAGAGCAGACTGAGAAGACTGTTGTTGTTGTTGATTTGTAGTAGTAGTAGTAGTAGTAGTAGAGTAGTAGTAGGATCTTGTTGGTTGAACTGTTGTAGTTTGGGCTGTTGATACGATACGATTCTGAGCTGATTGACTGTGACTAAGGTGGCTGTGTGGTGTTTTCTTATTTTTTTTTTTTTTTTGGTGTGTGTTGTTGGTGGATATAGATAGATATATATATATATTGGTGAATCATTCTATTCTGTTGCAGCAGCCGAAGAACGTAGGTCGTATGAAGAAGCAGTTGGTGGAGGGAAGCATCGGTTAGCAGCAAAAGAGGATCAGGTGGTGGTTGTGGTTTTTGGTGGCGGTGGTGGTGGTGGCGGTGCTGCTGCTCCTACCATCCGCGATGTGGAGAGACGAGCTTGAAGAAGAGGATAACGCCCTGCCCTGCTGATGCTGCTGGTGCTTGGTCGATTGGTGGTGGGGTCGTTTGGTTGGTGAACTGGTGAACAGTCGTCGGACTTTGGGTTTTCTAGTTCGAGTCGAGTTCGAGCTGATCGATCGGGTCAATGCATAAACACAATATATATATATATACACAGAGAGCAGACAGTTAGCGCGAACAACATTATCTCAGTAGATGTTAGGTTACAAGAACTAAAGATAAAAAACACATTAGCAGAAACCATAAATAGAAATATAACAAACGGATTTTGTTAGAGTCGTTACGTTTTCATTTCGGTTTCGGGTTTGGTTTCGAAGGGAAGTGTTGTTGTCGGCTGCCAAAGGTTTCATACTTGCTGCGATTGAAGGAAATAGCGTGAAGCAGCCTCAATCTTGTTTGATTGCAAGGGGAAGGTGCAACTACTGGGTGTTGGAGCCAACAAAAGGTCTGCATTTGGGGGATCTGTGCGACCCCCTGCCGCACTTTTGCTGACTGGCCGCCAGATGTTGTAGTAGTAGAAGTAGAAGCTCTTGCTGCAGTTGGTCTTTTGTAGCTGTAGCTTGTTGCTGATGCTGTAGCTGCACTAAAGATGACGGATGATGAGGTGGTGGGTGGTTCATTTTTTTTTTTCTGTTTTTTTTTTTTTTTTTTGGGGACGAAGGAAGCAGGCTGAAGACAACCGCAGAACTTGGAGGCGTAGGAAGTTGACTTTTTGAAGCGTTGCTGGACTGGTGAGTGTATATATATATAGATATATATGCATAGATACATATTGGAGTTGGATTCTTGATGAAGTTGCTCTGTTGCCGCCGATGCCCGGTTCGCTGTGGTTCTTCGTGATTAGTGTGGTTAATGGCAGAGTGTTTGTGTATGTGTGTGTGTCTGTGTGTGTGTAGCCTGAAGATGGGGTCAACTAACAGACTATTAATGATGTGGAAATGTAGTCTGCACTTAAAGGAAAACGACCACTTTTTAACGACAAATAGGGTAGCTTAACGTTAATTGTATTTTGTAAAATGTTTACATTTTTGCGCACCAAATAACAGTTGGCAAATTTGTAGAAGTATGTATATTTTTATATTTAAATCTTTAGTTTAGTTGAAATCATTCAGCAAGTTGTGTAATTTAACAAGACCCTTCAGAAAGTGGGTCTGTTCTACTTTTTCTGAAAACATCATTGCTATGTTATTAATTTGCCAATAACAATTAAAATAGTGGCCTCCTTGTCAAGACCCTAGCAGAAATAAAAATAAATTTGGTCGTTTTCCCTATAGTGCGATGTAGGTGAGTGGTTTTAGACTGGTTTTGGGTGCATTATTCTTGTAGCTGCGCAGCCGGAGACGTTGCTGATGATATTTTTTCTGATTTATTTGGCCTGGGTTGAGCTGAACAGGTTGGTGGAGGGAGTGTAGTGTTGCAGTCGTTCGGTTTTGTTCTCGTTCTGTCAGCGGAATATATCGAATTTGTTGAATTTCTGACTTTTGGGGCCGCACAACAAATTGCATGGTGGTGTGGTGGTGGCTGTTGTTGTTCTTGTTGTTGGTGAAATGTGTGTATAAGGAGGAGCAGGATCTGCTGTTGTTGTACTAGTTGTTCTTGTAGTAGCTGTTGTTGTTGTTGTTCTTATTGTTGTTGAAGGAAGAGGAGTAGTAGAAGTTCTAGTAGTAGTAGCTGTTGTTGTTTTTTCTTTTTTTGCTGTTGTTCTTTTAATTATTATTATTATTATTGATGTTGTTGTTGTAGTAGTTCTTGTTGTGCTTGTTGTAGTAGAAGAAGAAGACTTTATCCTGCAAAATGATTGTGAGACCACATTAAAATTGGCTCCAAGCGTTTGATTTACTTTGGTTTTACTATGTATTTTTTTTTAAGTATTACTATTATTTTTTTTTTGCTAAAAAAAAACAACAAACAAAACGTTTTTCGCTAGGTAAAGCTATACTCTTTGAACTTTAAACTATGAACCTCGGGTGCGTAATGAGCAATGAGATGGATTACTAATATTGAGTTGCCCCTATAAAAAAACAAGTGCTACAAAATCGATTGGCTAGCAACCACCGGTGGTGTTTGTCGAGGACGCCACTGTGTGGGCAATAGACTGTTTACGCCGGACGCCACTGTCTTTGTGTGTGTAAGCGGTTTACAGTGGTGTCCCACTGCTAAAGTATATGTTTTGTGTGTGTGTAATTTTGCTGGCCCCGCTTTCGTATGTATACGCGAATCGATTTTTCACATGCATACATACACACACACGACATATATGTTTTTCTCTTTTTTGTTTTCTGCATATATATTGGCAAAAATTATGATGTTTCATAATCGAGGCGGATGGGTTTTTGTGGGCCAATGGTTTTGCACTCACCTATAACGACCGCCGCCGTCGCCGGCCCTTGTACCGCCTCCAGCTCGGGCGCCACTGCCTCCGCCACGGCCACCGCCGCCGCCGGAGCCCCCGCCTCCGCCTCCTCCGCCGCCACGTCCCTCACGGGAACGACCGGAGGACATCTCAACTCGGATGCGAGTGCCACAGCAGCGGGTTCCGTCCAATCCACGGGTTGCGTCCTCAGCATCGCGGCGATCCTCAAACTCGACGAAGGCGAATCCGGGCGGATTGCGGGCCACCCAAACGTTGCGCAAGGGACCGTATTTGCTGAAGGCATTCTCGATCTCGTATTTGGATGCCGAGGAGCCCAGATTGCCCACGTACACTTTGCAGGCCAAGTCCCATTCCCGGTAGCGTGGCATTATCGCTGGAGATCTGTGTGACTTTCTACCTCTGGATTGTTTTCGGTTTAACGCCCCCTGTTTGCCAGTGGCTATTTACTCCTCTGGATCGGTTAACTTTCCACTAGGTTTTCCTGGCTTAATTATTTTTTATTTTTATGGCTTTTTGCGCAGCGAACACACCCCAAACGCAGGACGAGAAAAAATTAAAGATGGAAGAAGCGCCGATGTAACGTCGACACATCGATTTTTCTGACGTTATGCATATCGATGGTTCTCACGATGTTGATATTTCATTAATTAAATCGCTTTTTAAAAGGATCCAAAGCTAAAAATGATATTATTAAAAACAATAACTTACGAAACGAACCATATGGCAATATATATTATGCGAAAAAATAAAAGACAAACATAAACAAATGTCGATATATCGATACAATACAGTTTACCGACCATTTCTAGGCTAAATATTTAGGAAAAGAATAAGATGGCGCGCGGGGCAGTGTTAGAAAGTGCCTGATTAAACATGTTTTAAATGCAGTTTACAAAAAAGGATATAAACATGGTTTGGTCGTAGTAATTAAATTATGTTTGCTTTTAGAATCAATACATTGGTTAAATATGTTCAATACTACATCGATGAATAAGGGATCATCGAGTGATCGATAGTACAGAATAAACATCGACTTAGGGTCCGGCGCTAACCAGCTGTCCCTATTATTTAATACAGGCACATTATTGTTAGCCCCTTTCGATTGAAGAAACTTGAATCAAATATCGCAGCTTAAGATGGCCAAGACCCCGGAAAACATAGCGCTGGATCAGCTGGACAAGGACCAAATGAAGACGGTAAGTGGGCGTGAAGATTCAAACACCGAAAGCACCGGCTGGCAATCAAGTGATGCAATGTGGGTTTTTATTTATTGTGGGTTTTAAATTCCAGTTCTCCGACTTCCTGATGTCCTACAACAAGTTGTCAGAAATGTGCTTCACAGACTGCGTACGTGACTTTACATCACGGGATGTCAAGGACTCTGAGGTGAGTTTACCAGTACCATGTGGATTCCCAAATTTTTCGACTTCATATACTATTATTTATCTTGTCTTGCAGGAGAAGTGTTCGCTAAACTGTATGGAGAAGTACCTTAAGATGAACCAGCGCGTATCGCAGCGTTTCCAGGAGTTCCAGGTGATCGCCAACGAGAATGCCTTGGCCATGGCCCAAAAGACTGGCAAACTATAGGTGTTCTAACTTTAGCTATAACAATCTTAACTAGTTTAGACAACTGAGATGATGCATTTTTCCTGCATTTGTCAAAATAGCTGAGTAAAGAAATGAGTTGACTTTTTCCCGAATTTGTATGTATACTATTCGATTATCGTGGTACTTTATTGCTGATTGATTGGTGATTGATTACGGTCTAGAGATCTTGTTTGAAAAGACACAAATGTGGATCAGTTTCGAATCGAACTGGTAACAGGACCTATACCTATCTCTTCATTGTTTTCTTTTAGCACTTCAGCCTCATGACAGTTATTGGTAGCTGCTTACATGCTAGATGTGCCTACAACTACGTTTAAGTCACGTTAAGACAGGGCCGTAGGCGAGTTCCCCGAGTCCGGATGCTGTAACCGTTTCGCCGGAACGCGGAGCTGACTACGGCGATCTCTAAACTAGGTCTAATGCAATGCGTAGAAGCCATCGCCTCTGGCTTTCCACTCAATACTTAGGGCTACACACGTTCCGCAAATGCGTGGCTGTCGTATTCCCGGCTCGGTCGTTTGTTCAATGACTCGTTGTGGGGGCCTCAGATGGAAAGCCTTCTGCTTCGGTTATCAGGGCGTACTCCAGAATCACGCGTCCCTCCTTGTACCTAAAGGGAATGGGAAATTAGTAAGATTTAAAATTTCTATTGAACTTCCTTATCCCTAAAATCACAAAGGTACAATGAAAATCCATGCCTTATAACGGAAAAGAAGTTCCCACCGAGAAAAACGGTTTACAGTAACCGAATTAACTATTTCTAGATTGTCATCTAATGCCTAAACTTTGTGAATCCCAGATTACAAACCCATACGCACTTTTGTGACTCCTCGGTGGCGAATTCGTACATCCATCCCAATTTGGCGCCGCAGTTCTTGCACATGACATCGCGCACCATGTGGCGTCCGGTGAGCATGACTCGTTCCTGGATGTTGCTGAAGGTCAGGTTAACTACGCGCTTGAACAGATAGGCTCGTCCTGTCAAATGTGAATAGTATTATTATTATTGCATAATCGGAGGAACAACTGCATGACTTACCTGTTGCGCCCGTGAATCTAGTGCTGATCAGTTGGCTACGGTTGGTCAGGTTCGTGTGGCACTGGGCGCAGTTAAACAGTTTTAGCCCACCGAGGTGTTCCAGAAATATGCGTCCCATTGTGCTCCCTCTCGCTCTTTCTCTCTCTTCTAGTCTTGCCCGTCTCACTCACTCGCTTGTGCGTGTGAGAGTGTGCGTATTGGTGCGCTCCTTTGTTTTCCTATGCGGGTAATTAAATCAGGGTATTACTTTAATTACTTTTGGCCTTGTAATACTCTTTATCTTTATGTGCGTTGCACTTTTGTTTTGCAGTTCAATTATTGCCAATCATAACAACGCAGTACCTTACAATCTCAGCTGTTTGGAGTTCTTTTAATAGTAGTTCGGCCTTGGGAAACCCTTGTCAGGGCTTTTGGCGGACTGCACACTTGTAATTCGGATATCAGAGATATATATTTCCGATTTGGGTTTAGAACTTGAGAGTTGTTAATGCGACGCTTGCACAAAAAAAAAACAACAAAACACTGAGGAATGCTTTCTAGGGTTGTCGCCGTGTTCTGCGATATCAAGCCAAACTATCGAAAGCAAGTGCCAGGGATGGCAATTAGACTTCACAATTAAGTTGTTTTTTCTAAATAAAATTACTTAATTTGTAATGCTTCAATAATTGTTAGCTATAAGCAGTAAATGGTTAACATAGATTAATAAATTTCTGAAGTTATAAGGTTCTATTTTTTGCTTCTAAAACATAATCGATAGACCGTTGGCCTGCCCTGCTCGAATCAGCTGTTTTACTACACGTGATAGTTGTTTTTGTTGTTGTTGCTGTTGCGTGTGTCCGAATTGCCTTTCAAAAGTCAAATCAAATAACAAAATTCGAAAAACCATGTGTATAATTTTCTAAACTCAGTAGCACAAGCACAACCCTTTTTTTTTATTTTGGACACCGCTAACACCATGGTTGGCCCGCAGGCGGAGGGCATGTAAATAACGAGAAGCCGCCAAACGAGAAAACGCAACAGAAACCCCTTATAAACAGTAAGGAAAACCTCAGCCGGACAGCATGCAATTCCTGCGCAGCTGCCCGGCCCGTGGCTTAATACTCTCGAACCTCGTTCGCGGCCAGCGCAGCCTGCGAACGAGTTGGCCACGAAGAAGTGGCGAAGGAACTGCTGCAGGAGGAGGTGGGAGCACTACCACCAACACCGGCGCCGGAATCCGCCTGGTGGCACTCCAAAAGCTGCGCGAATGGCATGCGACCGCCTTTAGCAGCCGGTTCCTGCTCTTCACCAACGTGGGCATCTCGCTGACCCTCAGCTGTGTGGGCGACATCCTGGAACAACACCTGGAGATCTATTGCAATGAAATCGAACGCTTCGAGGCCACGCGCACCGCTCACATGGCCATCAGCGGTGTGACGGTGGGTGTGATCTGCCACTATTGGTATAAGATGCTCGATAAACGTATGCCCGGTCGCAGCATGCGCGTGGTTGCCAAGAAGATCGTGCTCGACCAGCTGATCTGCTCGCCCATCTACATCACGGTGTTTTTCATCACCCTGGGCCTGCTGGAGCAGAAGGACAAGCACGAGGTGTGGGAGGAGATCAAGGAAAAGGCCTGGAAGCTGTACGCCGCCGAGTGGACTGTGTGGCCGGTGGCGCAGTTCGTCAACTTTTACTGGATCCCCACTCATTACCGCATCTTCTACGACAACATCATCAGCCTGGGCTACGATGTGCTCACCTCGAAGGTGAAGCACAAGCAGTCGCACTCGCACCTCAAGAAGATTCCCTAACCCAGGGCCAGACTCTCTTCCTTTACCTGCTACTCCTTTCTTGTAACTAATTTATTATCAAAGCGAAAACCTTGTAAATACAGACGAACCCGTGTACAGACCAATAAATTCTTTCTTATAACGTTTGATTGAGCTGGTTGAGCAACAGGTTTCGAAGGCACTTGACAGCTGCAATTTGGAGCGCTGGAGCAACCGGTTGCAAGTCTTGGCCATAAAGGACTTACGGGTACAATGATCCGGGGCTGGAGAAGGAACTAAAACAAAAGGAAGCCCGTGCGGATGACGCACATCACATTTCGCCGAAGGTGATAAGATTTTTTCCTCTAGCAACAGCCGATGCGGTGCGATGAGATTGGAGGCGATGCCAAGCCTACCATCTCAGTTGTTTCCACCTGATAAGCGCTGCTTGGCAGCCGCATTAAAAATAACAAGAAGCCGTAATCATCCCAGTGATAAGCGGCTATGAAACGCATCGTTATAAAATGTATGCTATAAATATACATAGATAGAAACGTGAGGTCTCGATTCTATAACTGAGCTCACGAATTTCCAATTTCGCTGATTTGACTTTCAAAGATTCTAATAGAAATCAATTAGAGGTGTGTTGAAACATTGTAAGAAAACACACTGACCGAAAAAAAATAGACACATCAGTTGAAAGGTTATCAAATTTTTTAATACATATTTCAAATAAATAGATTAACATTTTACATGTTATGTGTTTGTTTTGTAAGCAACCTTTCTGAGAATACTAGTTTAATAGTTAAATAAAACTATTTTTGTTATAATTCAAGGCATTATATTTTTTTATACATAGGTAAAACATTTTGAAGATTTTTTTTTTTATCAAATATACCTATTAGCATCTTATCTAGTTTGCAAAAATATTTTGGCAACACGTCATACATTCTTCTATCTACCTATATACTATACAAACGAGAGGTGCTGGAGTTCTTTCAAGTGTGTCTTCCTCATATCCATTAATAAAATGACTAGCTGCCAGCCTTATCTCGTTGATTTCTCTTTTCATTTCAAGAGCGTTTAATTAGAATCGTGCTTGACATTGATAATGAAAGTTGCCGAAAAAAAAGATTCAAGCAAAAGACTCGACTCATTGCCATTTGGATGGCAACGAAATCGAGTTCCCTTTGCAAAAAAAAAAAAACTGAATAAATTCCGAGATTCTTGTCTTAGCCTCGAATCGATTTGAATGTATTTCGGTTGAAATTGATTTGGTTTTGCGTTTGCCTAATTTTTCGCATATATGTATTTGTGTCTGCTCTTGCGAATCGGAAAACAAGACCAGTTGGAACTTTTCGAACCAGTTTTTTGGCTCAGGAGATTAATTCTCAATCTCGTCTGGCTACCTAGCAACCCAATCTTGTTTGTTTGAAGCCGCTTCGAGCAAAAACTGCAAACCGTTTGATATTTTCAAATTGACTTTTTAATGAGAGTTTGTCAGTCGAGGTCTAGAGAAAAAAGCTTTTTATGCATTGCAAATTAATATCCTATTATATATCACAGTTTTCGTTTTCATTATTTGTTTTGTTTTAGGTATATATTTCAAATAGATTAGAAACCAGTTCAGATTTCTCAAGATCTTTAAGCTTACGGGGCGTATACGTGATATGCAAGTCAGGAATATCATCTTTATTAATGGGAATTTTAATAGGATCCTAATAACACTTAGTGGTGGTGTGTTATTTTATTTATCCCCAGATCCGTTTAGATCATCTTATATCTGCTGACGCACTGCGTCATCTGTCATACAATAATGTGTGAGATAATCCACATCCATCAAAAAAACAATCTCAGAGCTCGCGGATTGGTTGAATTTCAGGGCTCGTCCGCTTGTTGTTCTCAAAATAATGATAAAAATACGAAAGTACAGTTGAAAAAAATACGTACGCCAAAAGAAATGTTCTGGCTTTGGGATATATGCATACAAAATATTCAGTATAACAAATTTAATTAGCATTTCTAAATGGATTTTGTACTTTGAAGGGCTTTTTTCCCTTCAGTTTTACTATTTACATTCCAAATGGGATCGAGACCTTCAAATATATTTAATTTTTCATTGCGCAGTACTTAAAAGGCCACACAAGAGTTTTAAATTATATTGGTTGTATTTTATTATTAAGTTTTAAAAATTAAATTAGGTTTTTTTTTAATTGAACAAATGGGTAAAATAATAAATAATTCAAGAAACCACTTTTAATGAGCCAAAGAGTATACTGTAGAAAAAAGACTATAAAAGATTGGATCCCAATGGATTTTGTGGCATTGACAGATCATGCAAGATATCATCAGTTCCAAAGCAATCCAAATTCTTTCTGTGTATGGCTGTGTTGCATACTGATTATATAAACAATATTGGCGGGGGGCGATCGGAGCGAAAAGAGCGGAAAGTGGAGAGCAACTCACGCGCAGAAAAGTTGTGTAAAAGAGCCAGAGAGTCGCGGCGCCAAAGAGCGCAGATATGAAATGAATTTACGCAACTCACGAACAGGTGCCGCCACCCATACACTCGCACCTGGAGATCTCGCTGTTGGTGCTTCGATATCTATGTATAGCATATAAATCGGACACTATTGTGTCCGCGGATCCGACGAACTGACGAACTGACGAACTGACTGAGTGACTCTGCTGGTAAGGCACATTTTTGTGTGCCGTGTTGAGCGTTTCTGTCGGTTTGGGTTTTATTTTACATATATTATTTTTTTTTTTTTTGGTACAATTCGAGTGCCGGCCGCCACGCGCAAGTAAATTGTTACTCCGCCAAAAAATGGGTGTGTGTGTGTGTGCGCCACTATTTAACATAAATTTCGATGACAGATATTTGCAAAAAAATCCAATGATCAACTAGTTGGTGCGCAGTGTATGTGGCCTAAAAGTAGGCCGCAGAACGGGAAATACAAATTTATTCCTCTTTCTGGTTAATATATGATATTATTTATTACAAATATATCTATTTCTTGCTACACTTTTAATTTAAGGAACATTAATTAAATCGTAGCATACCTTTTATAACGTTTTAAAAGGTTTCAAACCTCTAGCAAACTCTTTTAGATTTTCTTTAGGAGTTTCATGAATATAAAGCTTTTATTCCTTCACTTTGATAAAAAGGCAAATAAAATGTATCTTATTATTATAGAAAAATATATCCTTTTATAGGGTATCTGCCCTTTTGTACCCATTAATACCCATCAAGTGTCGGATGGCGGCAACAAAAGCCGGCCAAAAAGTAAAAGCCTTATAACAGAAGGCAAACCCACAAGCAGACTCATACATTTGAGCATAAAAACAAATATGTATTCTTTTTGTTCCCCTTTATTTTCGACTTGGAGAGCCACACGTGTCGCTGACTCGCCACAAAAAATAACTAAAAAACATCATCCAATATCGGGTTAAATGGATCTTACTCCTTTCTGGGGACTTGAACATATGAAATGGGGGCTTGTCTTTGGCACACGACTTAGTCACGAGTGGAGTCATAAAGAGCGGTCGTTAAAAAGATTATAAAACGTAATGATTGTGGCGCTCTTGGTGTTTCCTTCTTTTTTTTATCTACCACTGCTATAATATAGATTTCTTCAGTTTCTTTGGTGCCGTCCCCAACCTTGAAAAAGCGTAGGAAATATCTTTTTGAAGGGGTTGATAGGGGGCGGTGCGTTTGCGAAAAGAAATGAAATCAATTAGATAGATAGTCGGGGCAGCTGGTAAACAGCCGAAATTTGTTCGTTTTTTTATTCTCCGGAATCGCAATCTATCGTTTGTTTGCACAGCGCTATTTTTGAATGCCAAAGATCGACAGTGAAAATTCTGAAGGGGCCTTGGGACCTTGAGCAGTAAAAAATGTGTTCATAGATGCGAACAGGAGAATATAAAGAAAGCCCGCGTAAGCAAATAAATCTCGCGACTACGCCCACAATTTTCGAACATCATAAACATGGGATTCCATCTACATATTCACCGAAATGTGTTGACCAAAAGCTAAGCCATTAATGTGGGTTGGAAAAATGATCGGGGGATTTTCTTTCAGATCAATGATCTTTCATGGATTTGCCGGGACTTAAGGATTGTAATTAAAATTCCTTTAAAATGCTTTCAGAGGTTAAAAATTCATTTCAATTGTATTTTTGCATGCTTTCAATAATTACTTTTCAAGTGAAAATTGTCTTGAAAACAAACAAACTATCCAATCACTAGTACCTATATCTGGCCCATATGATTCCAGCTAACAACCCGAAAAATCCGTGTTAATGATGTCTAAATCAGCCGCACTCGAATGATAAAAATAAATAACTGTCCAATAAATGCCAAAATAAATGCGAAATAAAGAACAGCCGTCGGGAGAGGAATGCAAATAAATCTGAAAAATGGCCTGACCAATTACCGCCGTTTGACATCCGTATTAATATCCCGGGATGACTTGCGAATCCGTAATCAGAGCGGGTGACTAAAGGCCTTATCACTGTTGTTTGGCCGGGAACAATTAGTCGGGGGATGTGGCGGTAGTATCTCCGCGGCGATAAAGTCACATTCATCAACCCGACTAACCGATCGCGATCATGTGCCACTGTATCTGCTCCCGGTATCCGTATCTCTATCTGTTTCGGGCTTGCGCGTTCTCATGACAGTCAAAGCCCCGGAAACGTGTATCTTCTGATCGTACGAGGGAGTGGCAGATAGAGTTGTTTTTTTTTTGGAGGGGGCCTGTGCCATAACCTGACGTCAATGGATCGAAAAACCCATCCAGAGGTATGCCCATTCTGGCAATGGAGCTTACACATAACCCTAAGGGAAATAACTGAGAAAATAATCGAAAATTGGAAGAAACTATTAATGAATAATACAAGATCTTTGTTATTGAAATTCAAAGTTATTTTGACCACATTAGAGGAAACTATTCAACATTTATATAATAGTTTTCCAATTAAGTCTTAGTTTTATTTCAACCTTTTAAACATCAGAATACATTAATAAGTTTTTCCCACTTTTGATTCAAAGTTTAGTGAATCATGATAATTAATTAATAATACGAATATTTTAACGTTGTGTTTTCTTATTTTATTTTATTGTTTGAAAACTAAAATCTTAAAAGATTATTATAATTAAGTTAATTGAAGCGGATATGCTTTGATATACTTTGAGGCCTGTTGCTAAGTATCGAACGGCCCTATTTATCCAATTAAAACAGCGTTGGCTTTGAACCCTAGGAACCCTTTAGCTTCAGCCCAGAACCCAATGACTTTTTGGTTTTTTTTTTTTTTTGATTCGGTGAATCGAATTGAGTTCCCTGCAAACGCGTGATCGATTCCATTCGAACTGCAATTACCTCGACACAGTTGGCCGCGATTAAAGCGGCTCGGTTCTAGAACTCGGAATTCTGATTTGACGTCACCGCTGGCCCCCCACGAATGCTCCCTTTTTTTGCGAGTGCGTAATTCAGCAATTCGATTGCGTACTGCAACGGTGGGATAAACACTACGATGCGACAGGCAGAAAATATTTACGAAGTATCTTACGAAAGATGCCACAAAAATAACAAGAGGATCAGATGACGCGGTTGGCCGTCAAGGCAACGAAAACAAATTCTCGCAGAAAGGCATCGAATCAACAATAACAATAACAATAACAGAATGATTGTAACGCCGGGGCGAAAACAAGTCAACCAAAGCTCGGACGAAATAAAGGTGACCAACGGGGGGTTAAGGGGAGTTGAAGGCGGGCATATTGCGCATACGCCGCTTGGTACGCGATCAATAACGATACTCACAGCCAAAGGGAAAAATATAGCTATGTTACTGCTTGGATAGTTTGTGATAGTAAATATTTATGTTTGTGATTTCCTGGAAAGTTGCCACATGAGGAACTTTCCATTTAAAACAGTTCAATAATAAAATAATTTAATTTATATTTTCCATGATAAAATTAAATTAATACAATGGCTTTTTTTAGTTATGCATACTATAAAACCATGCGTTCTTTATGCTTTTATGGGCTTGCAAATACTATTATTTTGCGCACAGCTGTATGTATCTGCATCTGTGCTTGTATCTGTATCTGTGACTGTACAAAAAGTGGGCCTGTTTCAGCGAACGGGCCTCCAAAACACACACACACACAAATGGCCAGAGAGCGAGATAGGCGACACACCCCTCCACCTTACACACACACATATGCAGACTTTTGAAAGCGTCCTTGATCGTGCACAAAAACAATGTAAGCAGTGGAAGCAGTGCAAACGGTTCAATGACTTTTGCTCTCGTTTTACAAGTCAGATAATTATAGTGTAATACGCCGAAGGGAAGTAATTGCAGGCGCTACCCAACCCAAAAGCCACTCTTTTTCGCTCAGTGAACGACACCTTGAGTTGTTTTCTTACATTACGTGTTTCGCTGGAAATCGTTTAGTTTATCAAGTTGTTATTGTCTGCTGTTGTTGTTGATCACTACCAAAAATCCGTCGTAGTTGGTTTTTGTTTTCTTAATTATAAGTTATCGTTGATATTAAGAAATTGCTTGTCTTGGGTCTTCATAACTTGAACATTCTAGCAAAGTAAAACCTATATACACAGATAATAAATTTATTTATTAAATTTAAATTATTGAAATTTTTCGAAAGCAGGATCAGGAGTACATGTAAAATACAAGCAATTTAAATATTAAATAATTAAACAATTTAATTATGTCTTATTTCCATGGATATCAGTGTAGTTAATAACTAGTTCCTGCAAAACAACGTAGGTTTTCACCTTGGACATGTTTAGCATTACAAAGGGATATCCTTGCGAAGAGGTAAATCAAGGTCGTCCGGATGACCCAGTGACCAGGGAGCCAAGAAAACTGGTCACCGGGTGACCGAGTGAGATAGAGCAAGCATCGATCGACTATCTCCCTCCGACGCGTACGTTGACATTGAAAGCCACTAATTTATTTGTTTATCAGCCAGTTAAGAGCGCCGGAGAAGCATCTAGCATTACAATTATTTCAAGAGAGGCATGTAATGTGTACAAACACATATACAGCTATGTACATCTCTTTCAAACAGATCGTGACGCTCTTAAGTTACAACCACATGGCGTGAAAAACCAAAGAAAACTTGATTTTCTCTTATCAGCCGCTAATCGTGATGCAGCTAGTTTAGATATTGCATCAGCCAGGATTTGAGGGGGATTACATTCTGTTTTTTGTTTGTACCTTTCTCGAAACTGTTTTGCACAATCTGTTGTTACACACTCGAACCACAAATCCGCGCGTTATCAGTTGGGAAACTACGAGCTGGAAAACAGGAAAATAAAAAACCAAATGAAAACGTGCACGTCATGTTTTCCACATTTTCCACAGCCAATCGTTTTGCGTGGTAAAAAGACCAAGATGTTGGCCAGGTAGCAGGAAGTGGATAAGGAAGTGCCAGATATTGAAACCATGTGTGCGTCGTAAAAAGAACGTTTTCCAGATCACAATCTATTTAGTATCGTACTTTCCTTATCGAATTTTGATCAGACCAATTTGTTGATATATTTTAAATGTAATATGTATTTTTTTAAGGATACCATTGCACTTCTACATACTCAACAACTGAACACCATTTAGCCAGTAGAGCACAGATATACAAACTCTTGTATCTAGTTACTTTTATAGATATGTATCTTCTAGTACGTGTTCCATTGTTTACTCACTTTTAATGGAAAAGTACACATACTTGAGCGACGCAAACAAAGAACTAGAACCAAAAGAGAAGCTATCGAAAGATCCAAAACTTAACTCGAGGCAAATATGTCAAAAAAGCACAAAAAATCCAACCGAAAATAATTGCCCGAAATTGTCGGGGAAAAAACGAAACCGAACCAAAAAGAATTAAGTAAAGGCGGCTAAAAAACGAGAATCAAAAACCCGATGCCGGCCAAAATTGCCGATTGCTGCGCCCAAATAAGTACGCAGCCCATGGGGGTTATGCCCCCCAACATCTCCGCCCCCAAAGCCTCCTCTTTTTGGGAGGCGAGGGGGCGTTGCTTTAGCAACAAGACGTCGAGCCGATCGATCGATCGTAAAAAACCCGAAAACGAGCCAAAGTCACAGCAAGAGATTCGCTAAGGGAGCGAAAAAACATTCGATTTTCGGCATCTTATGTTTTTGCTACACTGACAAAAGTTATGGTTTTTTAATAAACAGAAACTAATCTTTCAACCTATTATTTATATACACGATTTACGATCCTGTTATCAGCAAGTTAACATTTTAAAGATATAAATTATGGGACATAGATGGAAACCTTAGTTTAATGAAGGTATGTGCCTTTTTGTACATTAAGTACGTATTTTTCTTTATTTCCATTATTTGAACAGGTGATTTGAAGGACTGTCAGCATTTTAATTTGCCCGTCATTCGCCCACATATTATATTTGAACAATAACGAAATAATAATAAGTAAGTGACAGGCCGTATCTGTCAGACAATCTTTCAACTTCCAAATTATATATTCATATAGCTAAATAAATCTAAATAATATAATGTTAAGCATATATGTACCATGCTTATCGCAGTGTAGCCTCTCTTTCGCTCTCTTAGCGGCCATTCCTGCGCAGTACTCTTAAAATGGCGTTCGAACGGTAATCGTACGACCCAAACACACACACACGTACACACATCCGCACGCCGCGGATCGGCTATATATATTACTATATCAGCGTCGGCAGCTCATTTCTTGCAGAGACTTCGTGCCGTTAAGATCAAGCTAAAAAGGCCTACAAAGAAAGAAAGTAAATCGAAAACCAAAGTAAAATACTCCTGTGTGCTTCAATCATTTTTTTACTGTGCAAAGGGCAGTTACTTCCTCGTAAAGTTAAACACAATAAACCCCGTTCATCGGTTCGCGAAAGTGCGGCAAAGTGCAAGTGCAAGAGACGCTGAAAGAGCGATAAAAAAAGCGATACTCGAAGAGCAAGAAAAGAGAAGCCCAATACCAAAGCCAAATAAACGAGAAAGAAAGTTGCAACTTTTAAACCCAACAAGATGACGACCAAAATGGCAATAAACGCAAAGGTTTGTAATCGAAAATCCCAAAAACCAAACACCACTTATCAGTGGGCCTCACGAAAATTCAAAATTTTAACAAGCTGGCAACAGAATCAAATCTGACTATTTTCGGAAGATTCATAAAAAAATATATGCAAATCATTGCGCTCATTTGATTTGTTTATCAATTCAACGAAATGTTAAAATGGACAAAACTAACAGTTAAATAATTTGATGGAATAAAACACTTCTTGCTTCACAAGTTTTAGAACTTTTAAAACTTTTTATCAGTAACCATAAAAACTTGTTTTGTTTATTAATATTTTTTAACTTTTTACTTTAAAATTTATTTGTATTTTCAATCCATCCTTAAAATTCCATCTTCAAGGTCAAATATGCCTTTAGTTATTTTAACTTTCGAAAGTATTACCTTTGACTTTTTACTTAAATCAAATGCTATGGATAAAGAACGTCTTCCTAAGACGCCTTATATTTCTTAGATCATTTTTTGTTTTATAGAACTATTTCCAGTTCAAAGTGGTTTCAGACGCATCTATAAATAGCAACCAAATTAAATTGAAATAAAATGTCGTGGACCTGAATAGCCACACACGTTTTATAGACTATCTCCAGACTGTGCCTTATAGACAGAACAACCTGCCACGCTCCCAGCTCTCCAGACCACTTATAAATAGAACCCATTATGTGTTATTTCGGACGTTTATGGCCCGTTGTTATCGCCCGGTTCCCGTTCCTCATACCAAAACCAAAACCAAACCCAAAACCAAAACCAAAAAACCGAGATAAGCCATATGGACGGGCAGACTTATAGACGACATACTCGACTCGAGTCTTTTCAATCGCCCAATTTCAATTTCGAACGAGTTTTTCAAGCACGCTTCGGTTTGCTGCTAGTTTTTTGGGTATTCGAATTCAGCTTTTTTTCTTTTTTTGGCTGATGCAATGACGTCGAGCGGTGTCAACTTGCCGCTTTTCTTGCGGCAGGCAGGTTTCTTTAGGCTTAGGCGATAGTTTAACCGATTTCATCAGCCATCCGCCAAGGAGACCCGAGTTAGCTGTTAAACATATAATAAACGAAATGAAATGAAAAGCTACTGGTGTAGATTAGGTCTTGTGCTGAAGCCGGAACCGAATCTAAACTGCTGACTCGCGTCTGACCTGGAATGTAGACTATATCTATACCTCAACCCGGGGGTTACATCAGTTCAAGTCCCCCCAACGAGATCGTCTGCCTTGCAAATCGAAAATTAACTCAATTAATGTGCAAATCATTTTCGGCAGTTCAGCGATTTCGATTCGGGTCTAGATCCAAATTAGCATACATTTCAGGGGCGGACTGTCTAGTTATTTTAAAATAAAAAAAAATTAAAATTTAATTGGCTTTTATTGACAGACAGCACACTAATTAATTATCAATACAAATTTGTGTTGTCATTTTACGCAGTTTACTAAACTATTTAGTAAAGCAAAGCTAATTTGTTTTTGATTTAATTTGCTCACCCCTTTGAGAGTTTTTAAAGCAGTGTTTACTAGCAATTATTATTGAAACTTTATCATATATTTATCTTCTGTTTAAATGAATTGTTTTTAAAATTGTCAACTTTTTAATTGATTTGTTAGTGAGACATACAGAGCTTTCCATTTCTAAGTGACTTATTTGTATGTCCATTTACTCTACTTTTGTTATGATATTTTCTGTTTACAAATTCAACTTGTTGACTTTTATGTAAATCATTTAATTTGTAGTATTTTTTGAATTTAATTTTCCTCTCAATCTGATTAAATTTGTAGCATATTATCATGAACTGATTTATGTTTCGTTATTTATCATTTGTTGCTGCTTTACAATGCTATTGAATATTAGTGCCACTTTTAGTGATACTTCTTAGCCTGTTTACATGAAGTGACTTATGAGGCGTTTTCTGATTTTCCAGGATATTTTCCGCAACCAGCACCGGCTGATCCGCTTCATCGCGCAGTCGATCCGCCTGTGCAGCAACCAGTCGCTGAAGGCGGCCCAAGCGGCCCAGCTGCAGCAGCAGCAGAAGGCGGCGGCCGACTTCCAGATCACCGCCTCGGTGGACGCCCAGTACACCAGTGCCCCGGAGCCCATCAAGCACGACCAGAACCTGGGCCACCAGTTCAAGGCGTCGCAGCTCTCCGTGCGCCTGGCCGCCCCGGAGCAACTGCAGCCGAAGCCGGACAACGACGAGGAGCTCGGGTTCGGTCGCCTCTTCACCGACCACATGCTCAAGATCTACTACCACAAGAGCCTCGGCGGCTGGCAGCGGCCGGAGATCACGCCCCTGGAGAACCTGGTCATGCATCCCGCCGCCAAAGTGCTCCACTACGCCGTCGAGGTAAGAAAACAAGAAACTAAACACAGATAACACTTAAAACTCAAGCATTCCTAAAAGTCAGATATTTTATGGGTAATCCACACAATAATTTACACAATATATCTAGCTTATTTCTTAAAGAAGTAATATCTTTGATTGCGAAAGAAAACAATATTATTTAATCTAATAATTTCATAACTTAAACCATTTATAAACTCCGAATTAAGATTTAATAATAATAAAGTAACATTTGAAATGAGTACGATGATCTTGAGCAAGATTTTTTCAGCATACTTATTTTTGTTCTTATTATTTTTTTACTTTTTTAATGTTCTTCTCGAATATTTTACAATAATCTTTTGAATTCCTAAAATTTCTTCGATTACAACTTCTTTCAAATACCTTACTGTTGTGATGAAAAATGTACGTGACTTTGTAGTCCCGAGTCTGTAATCTCTGTAAACAAGTCGCACGTGTGGTCCGTGAAACTGACGTCATCCGAGTGCACTTACTATATTTTGTGTACACATAGTCACAATCCGAATCCGAATCGGGATCGGGCTGTTGCCAATGGTGCCATGTTGTCTTATCAATCCCCTGCCTTTGCCTTTTTGCAGCTCTTCGAGGGAATGAAGGCGTATCGCGGCGTCGACGGGAAGATCCGCATCTTCCGGCCGGACATGAACATGAACCGCATGAACCTCGCCGCCCAGCGCTCCGGACTGCCCACCTTCGAGGGCAAGGAGTTCGTCCAGTGCCTCTCCCGCCTCCTGTCCATCGACTCCGAGTGGGTTCCCCACACGGACACCGCCAGCCTCTACATCCGCCCCACACTGATCGGCATTGATGTGAGTATATATTAGATTATATAGAACTAATATACACTATTTAAAATGTATTGATCTTTCTGAAATTTGCCGAAGTATGTTGGCATTTAAATGAGGAAATTTAAAAACAATGATTTTATATTTTATATATGATATGCTATCCTCTTAAAGTCTTTCTTGTAACATGTTGTTATAATAACACAAACTATTAACATGATTTTATTATTTATATATTATTATCTATATATTATTTTTCAATAACTTTTCAATAATTTGCTTATATCCCACTCCACAGCCCACGTTGGGAGTGGCTTCATCGGACTCGGCCCTGCTCTACACGATCCTCAGCCCGGTGGGCAGCTACTTCAAGACGGGATCCAACGGCGCCGTCTCCCTGCTGGCCGATCCCAGCTACGTGCGCGCCTGGCCAGGAGGCGTGGGCAACCGCAAGGTGGGCTCCAACTACGCGCCCACCATCCACGTGCAGAAGGAGGCGGCGGCCAAGGGGCTGCAGCAGGTCCTGTGGCTCTACGGCGAGGATCACCAGCTGACCGAAGTGGGCACCATGAACATCTTCATGTTCTACGTGAACGATCAAGGAGGTTAGCTCATATAATTAATATATATTTAAAATAATAATTGAGCAATAATGCAACACCAAATCTTAATATAATTTTATAAACATTATTAAACCTTACTCAACTTTAATCTTCCACTTGCAGAACAAGAACTGGTTACCCCGCCTTTGAGTGGTTTGATCCTGCCCGGAATCACCCGCGACTCGATCCTGCAAATGTCGCGCCAGTGGGGCAAGTTCAAGGTGAGCGAGGCCAACTTCACCATGCCACAAGTCTGCGAGCTCCTCCACCAGGGAAGGGTAAGTGATCCTCGAGAAAGAAGCACCCAAAGTCCCTTAACTCATGGAGATATTCCCCCTGTTTTAATAGCTATTGGAGCTCTTTGGCGCGGGAACGGCGTGCGTGGTGAGTCCTGTGAACAGGATCAACTACCTCGGCCAGGACCTCTACATACCCACCATGGAGCAGGAGAAGCCGGTCCACGAGCTGATTCGCGAGACCCTCACCGACATCCAGTACGGTCGGGTGGATCACCCCTGGTCCGTGGTGATCGATTAAGAGATCCTCGATCCTTGATCCAGCCACATCCCCTGTTATCCCCTCCCCATCCCTTCCCCGTACCTTGTATTAGTAGGATTTAGTTGACAAGTGTTTTGTGGGTCGCCAATGTGCTCGAATTTGTTTCGTTTGTTGTGCATTTATCTAAGCAAGCACACACCAATCAATATATATAATATATATAATATAATATATAATGTAGTAGTATACATAAGTCGAGGGCCGATTCGCTTAAGTTGCATTTAAATGTATATTTATTTATTTATGTGAGGAATTCGAATTGTACATAATTCCAGCTGGTTCAATGTTACTTATAGTTTCTCTAAATTTTTTTCATACTTTTAGTTTCTTTATTTTTTTTTTTTCTGTACAATCATCTATTTTCTGAAGCTATGAATCGTCTTTTTGCGCTTTTACTTCCAAGCAGCATCGAAAGCAAGGCAAAATTACCACCTACAACATTTAGATTAGGAAAAGATCGGAGAGATCAGGAGGAGATCAGGATTCCCGAATCCGTTTGGGAATCGAGTTGAAAACGTACCGGAGGCGAAATGCATTTATTAGTGAGTAAGTGATCGAGCGTTCTTGGAGGTAAAAGCGGCACGAGAGGCACCAGAGGCACCAGAGCAGCAGCCACCAGCTGCACCGAGCTCAGCTGTGACTAGAGCTAATCTATACCTGAACCGTCAGTAGAACATAGGCTATAGGCTGTAGATCCTAAGCCGAATCAGCTGTATACTATACCTGTAACCTAGCAGTTAAGTCAACCATGCGATGAATAAACGATGACAGATATCACCCGAAACTACTTATGGGTTTTTATTTTGTTCTGGGATTCCATTTGGGAATATTCAACGCTTGAACAGGGTTCAACCAAATTAACTTTGCTTGCAGATTGTTACATATTTCGTTTTAGATCGTGTTGCTGATCTAGATTATATATTTTTTATGGGTTCTGAGGTGTCTCCTTCACTGCGTTGCAAACTTCAGACTGAAATTATAATACCCTCTGCGAGGGTATAAAAAAGTAAGGAAATAAATCATAGATGGCGCCAGCACTATTTTTGTCGATAGGTGGCTTTAATGCATTTCTATGTAAAGGTAGCACTGAATTTTTTAGGTGGTTAGCAGAGTTCTTAACCCAGTGCACGCACTACGTGGAAGAAAGATATGGCAAATTTAGGGAATAACTTGATTTCAGTATTTTGGGGCATCCTAAAGCATTTGGGGAACACTAATACCCCATCTGGCAGCACTGTACCGCGAACAGTTGTTGTCTTTTTTCGCGTCCGAAGTTTGGGTTTTGGTGCGTTGCGTTTTTTTTTGTGTGTCGCTCCGCTGTTTCAGGTGCTCCGCGTTTTATTGCCCTCTCTTAATCTTATCGCAAATCAAACCACGGGCAATGAGAATTGTAATTGCATTTTTTGGCTAACGGTAACGGTTTCTCACAGTGGGCTAAAAAGGGATTTACATTTTCAAATCGAAATCCCGGCCAGAACTTGAAGTGATAAAAAATGCCCGTGAAGACGGTGAATCGTCAGCAAAGTCAAACGCCCGCCCAACAATTGCAAATGCAGCAACAGCGGGACGTCGAAAATGGCCTTTATCCCACAATTCCCCCGGAGCGCCGATCTCCCCCTTCCCGTCCACAAACCTTGCGCCAGGACACCATCGATATGGAGGAAATTCCCCTTAACCAGAACAACGTCGTCGAACCCGAGGATCGTCGAAAAATGCGCGAGATATTCGACAAGGTAAGGGATAATAGTTAAGTTATTGCAAATTAACAGTAGGTTTAATTGTATTGCAAAATCTTGTGAAATTGCACTAGCAGTAGTGTAAATATTTAAAAAAAATTGGAAGAAATCGACCGTTAATCTATAAAACCAGCAGAACAAATAGGAACATCATATTTCATTTGAATAGTTTCATCAAAAAAATTAGACTATTTCTGTAGAAAAAATTGTGGTACTAATTAAATTTTTTTTAATTGCAACATATCATAATATCATAAAAGTACCGAATAAGAGTATGGATTAGTAACTGTCAAATTTTAAAAAATTGTAAGATCACCTTATAACACTGCACCCAAGGTTGAGTTATTATATTTCCATGACAACTCAAACAGACGCAGAGTCATGCAAAACCCCCCTTTTAGAAATTGCCCCAACAGTGGGGTTAATGTCAGCCCATGGGAACTTGCAAAAGAACAACCGTAATTAAAACACTCAGCCGGCATTTCCACACATACGCACATGTGAATGTGAATGAAGTTGCTTGTTTACAGCCGTCTTTTTCTCACCCTTGGTGAAAGTTGGATTTGGTGAATCATCTGAGCATCGATCCGCTAGTGCGGCACTCTTCGCTCTCCCCCAATAAAAGCCCCACCTTTAACCCATTAGTGAACACGCGACGAAACAAAGGACAAACAAAATTTCAAAGGAAACATTGTAGCCAAATATTGGTTTGCATAAACATACGTTAACTTTTAAATTTGGCTTGAACAAGATATTATGTGCTTCTTCCGACAAAAACAACAAATTTTAATCTAAATCTACCACTTTACAAAGTCGTTCATTTACTCTATATCGATCTTAAAAAAAACCGGTTAACGTACATTTAATATTAAACGTTGCTGTTTTTGTTTCCATCTGAAACGAAAACGATATAAATTAATGAAATGAGGGGAAAAAAATGCATAAATGATGCATTCCAAAACGTGATTTTTCAGTTCAAAAGATATGTAAACAAAAAAGACCCTCAATGAGTTAAAAATCCGATGACAAAACCATTTTAAATATTGCACCTAGGGGCGAAAAACTCAGAATTTCGTATTTCATTCGTGGCATTGCAAAAACACAAGTCTAAATATAGATCTATGTAGAGGTTTATAAATTTATTACGCTTAAATACAGTAGAAATTACTTGTTTAATCATTAGCACAAGTATTGTGTACGAAACTCCGACATAATTCGTTTATTTTAGTCACTTTTCTGGTAGATTAACCCGCTGTCCCTCAATTTTGCACTTCTATTTAATTTTATGGGCTATTTTTTGCTGCACTCTGTTTTCTTAACATTGAAAAACGTGGGGGAAACCGGGGGGCTGGAAGGGGGAGGGAGTTTTCTTATCGTGACAGAGGGGCGGCGAATAAAAAAAAAACCGGTTATAAATTATTGTTTGCTCGCTTTGAGTTCTGTCTTCGTTGTGTTTTTTCTTCGCTGGCGTTAGTCACTTAACCCCCCACTGGCCCACCGTCCCCCCGATGACACCCACCTGTTTTCATTTGTTGTTTGGTTTTCCATTATCAATTCGATTTCTGGGCTTCTGCGAATGCTTCAATGTACGCATATTCCTCTTGATTCACCCATGGCACCCGGCAACACGAAAGATCCTACGATTTGGTCAATCGCTTTTGGCCATTTAGCGTTCTCCAGAAACATTTTAGCAAATATGGTTTTTTGTTGGCATTTGATTAGCATAGCAAATGAGCTGCTCGCTCCCATTCCCATTCCCAATCCAATCCCATCCGATCCGACTGGAAATCGGCATTCCAGACACATTCCTTCTCGTTGGCAATCTTATCTGGCTTCTTTCGCTCCAAACATTCAAGTGGCCAAGAGAGGGGCAAATACTGGGTTTTAGGTTTACCAAGCCTTCGTTCAACAATCTAACTGTGATATAACCGAAATAAAACACATAACAAATTACAGCAGCAGTTGTTCAAAGTCATTTAGCTTTAATAATTTTCTCTGCCAAACATTTGCAATTTTAAAATGCATTTCAACTTTGCTAACAAGTTGAACTAGTTATATAAAAAGAAGAGAGTAATTAAATCTACCAAAAACAGGTACACTAATAATAAGAATTAGTTACAATTTAGATTAACACGAGAATTTCGACTAAAAATATACAAGTTAGGGAACTTGTACTTGCACTGTATCATTTTGATATTTCTAAAATATCATGTTGATATGTCACAGATAAGAAACCTTTCTGATATGAGAAAATACCTGCTACCATTTTTGGTGCTAGTATTTCACTAAGCTGTAAATCATTAACTCTGTGAGAGAAACGACGTATCTTAAGTTGTCTGTAAATATTTCAGTTGTTCTTAAATACTTCATTAAGAGATATAACAAAACCTAGTAATGCTTACCGATAAAATCACTTACTTAAGAATTAATCAATCCGCTCAAAACACAAATTACCGGCTTACCGTCCAGTTGTCCAACTTTTATTTTTTTTCTTTAACATTCTAACTTGTCTATTTTTGATTGCCTATAGTAAATTTGCTAATCTTCTTTTCGTGGAACTAATGTTTTTTTTTTTGCTTTATACATATGTTATCTCCTTTTGTCTTCCCGGTTTCTATAATTTGTCGTGCTAATTGTCGGCGGCTTTGTGTTAATTAATTCTTTTAAACTGAGCTACAAAATTTATAAACACAAAGACTGTGCATAAAACTATTTTATAAGTCACTCAAATTACTCTTTCGTAAACTATTTATTGAATCTGCCGGAAAGCAGTCCAGTGCAGAGTTTATCTATGACAAATGTTTTTATGGCTTACAAGTCGACCATGAACGATAAGGAAAAGCGTCAAGGAACTTTCTGTGGAAATGATTTGAAACAGTGTTAAGATCAGTTATTTAGGTATATATCATTTAATACATAAATAAGTTGACCTTTGTGTTATTCCTCTCCTTCAACTAAAGTGACAATTGTGCAACTCCAAGTGGCTTTCGAATTGTTTTTGATTAGCCTCGTTTTGGATTTCTAGTTTCTCGTCTCGATTTGTGGCATTCCTGTCCTTTTATGGACACTTTTCGGCGCGACTGGATTTGCTATTATGTTGCAAGTGTCGAGTGAAACAACCAAAAGGGGAAAATCAGTCAAACTGTAATCATTATTTTTTTTACGACTTTTTAATGAAGTTTAACAGTGGGATTTGGATTAGTTGGGTTGGCTGGATTTGTTTAACTCGGATTCGGAGGGAATGTCAAAGAAGGTTGACCTCTGCGGTTGAGGGACGAGAGAGTTGGACATCGCCATCTCCTCATCGATGGCATCCTGCCATGGAGTCGAGGGATCCTGCTCCTCCAAAGCCGGCAACCTTTTCTCCGATTTCAGTTCCTGCTCCTTCTTTCTGCGCAAACGCATTCGCTGATTGAGGATAAGTGGACGATTGGGTGAGATCACCCCGCGAATTAGAGAGGGCAGCTTGACCAGCCAACATGGCAATCGAAGTGACCCTGCACTCCTGACTCTGTGACGCTGCACCTGTCGTCGCTCCATGGCCACCAGTCCCCGCTTGACTCGTGTCTTCTCCAAATCCCCGGCGGACGATGTCCAGAGATTGTGGGCCGCAAAGAAGGCAGTGATTACGAAGTAGAGAACCAGAACGGTGACGAAGCCAGACGACTCCTGGAGCACTTCCCCATCCGCATCCTGCGTGGCCAGGTTATCGCAGGGGGAAGCCGGAGTCAAGCCCAGCCAGCTGGTCATGTGGTGGGTCATCTGCACCAGTTGCGACATCCTCAAGAGCTTAAGCAATCGAACTTCGTTTGGAAACCAGAAACAGGGATTTACTGCAAATTAAATAGAGAATAGAGTACTTTAATAGTTTCAGTAATTTAAATTTGATTTGGGCAACGTACTATAAACTATTTTCCCACCCAAAATTGATTTGATCAAACTAGCGCTTAAATCGAAAACAGTTTATTGTGATTAAGCTAGCACCAATAATACGTTTCGTTGTGATTTTCATAAGAATTAAAGACGTGGAGCTTCGCAAACATAATCCCCGAACTCAACCCTTATTAAAAAGTTTCATTTCTTTCGTAAGAAACCTTAATTCATATTTGCAAAAGGTATACGCGAATTTCTAAAGAATTCCGGAGGCAGCTGGCTAAGGTAAACAAAGTTGTACTCCAATTTAGTTTTGATTCCGAAAAAAGTTTATTAACATTTTATTCTCCGGAAGCTTTGGGAAGGTTTCCGAGGTAAGCAAAATATTACTATTTGTATTTTGATATGATACGTTACTGCGAAAAAAGTCGTTCGCATTAAAAGAGTATTCCATTTCATAAGGAATTTAATTATACATAAATAGCTCCAAAGAATGCGATGATACTTACCTGTTATATTGTTGGGAACAATCCTTTGAGTTTCTGTATATTGCTCTGTAAATCTTGAACTTTCTTACCTATGGATTAATTTGGATATGGGTGGGTTGATCCGAAATTGTATTGTATTGAGTGTTTGTGTTGGTGCGGGTTAGTCCGCCCAGGCGGAAACGAAACTATGAACTGAGTTCCTCTTTAAATCCACCTTGACACTACTATACAAAGCTCACTGCGATACGATTTTGGTTAAGAACAAGGCTTTAAATGGGATTGCAAGGTGTACTTGGTTCTGAATTTGAAAATGTACTAAGTTAAAAGTTATAATAAAATGAGTTCTATGATCTTTTTGTTTTTGTGCTGTAGTCTTTAAGAATATGTATATAATATTTACATAATTAGGATACTTATATCATTGTTTTCTCCCTCTTTAAAGCACGATTCCGACAGAGACGGTCTGATTGGCACGCACGAGTTGAAGGAGCTGATATCGGATGGCTACTGCCGCGACATCCCTGCCTATATTGCCGAGCAGATCCTGAAGCGCAGCGACCAGGACAACGATGGCCACCTCGACTTCGAGGAGTTCTACGGGATGTCGCTGCGCCACAAGTGGATGGTGCGCAACCTGCTCACCCGCTACTGTCGCTACGTGGTGCCGCCGCCCAAGCCTCTGGAGGGCGATGAGCCCGATGGAGCCTACGAGAAGCAGATGTCCATCTGCCCGCCACCGCTCACCATGGTCATCTTCTCGATCATCGAGATCATCATGTTCCTGGTGGACGTCATTCACTTTCAGTGAGTTAGCCGCTGGTGATTTACATGCCACTACCTTTGCATTTATTGAATCACCTTCTGAAATTAAATCTTTCCCATCTCCTCCTTGCAGAGATGACCCCAACTACCAGGATCGCATTGGCGAGAGCACAAGTGGTCCGGCGGCGACCCTCTTCATCTATAATCCCTACAAGCGCTACGAGGGCTGGCGCTTCGTGAGCTACATGTTCGTCCACGTGGGCATCATGCACCTGATGATGAACCTGACCATCCAGATATTCCTGGGCATCGCCCTGGAGCTGGTGCATCACTGGTGGCGCGTGGGCCTCGTCTATCTGGCTGGCGTCTTGGCCGGATCCATGGGCACATCGCTCACCAGTCCGCGCATCTTTTTGGCGGGCGCCTCGGGAGGAGTATATGCCCTGATCACGGCGCACATTGCCACGATTATAATGGTGAGCGGGGGATTTAATTTAAGTGATTAACTGATCCAATGAGATCTATGTATGTATATATATATATTATATTTTGATTTGTCACTTCAATATATTATATTAACAGTTCTTTGTAAAATTTATCTTTTCCTTTTAATTATTCTGGATTTGTTTTTTATTTAATTAACCATAATTGGTTCTTTTATCATGTAATAAATTTAAGTTGAATATTATTTAAATTTCCTATTTGTTATATTTTATTACCCTTTTTTGATTGCAGTAATTTCACTTTTGAGTAATCAATTTAAATTACTAATTATATTCGGATGAGGCAGTGACAATTCTCGAGTTCCTTGGCTTTATTTGGTTTTTAAATTTAGAATAGCAGATTAAATCATTCTGTATTATTTGCTCAAATGTATTGATTAATTAATGAGCAAACAAAGATTCAAAAGTAAACCAAATACTCTTAACTTTCCACAGAACTACTCGGAGATGGAGTACGCCATCGTGCAGCTGCTGGCCTTCCTGGTCTTCTGCTTCACCGATCTGGGCACCTCGGTGTACCGCCACCTGACCGACCAGCGCGACCAGATCGGCTACGTGGCGCATTTGTCGGGTGCGGTGGCCGGATTGCTGGTGGGGATCGGGGTGCTGCGCAACCTGGAGGTGAGACGCTGGGAGCGCATCCTCTGGTGGGTGGCCGTCATCGTGTACTTCGCCCTCATGACCACCGGCATCATCATCCACGTCTTTGTGCCCGACTACTTCCCCAAACAGGAGTACAACTAGCCGTAGAGATTAGCCTAGAGCCGTAGCCTAGATGTCCATGTCCAAAGTGCACTTCGATGTTGAGCCAAGGCTGCAGTACGAACAGTTTTGATAGTAGTATCTATATAGGGATGCCCCGCGCCACGCCGAATCCCACTCCCACTCCCAATTCCGACCATGTGCCTACTATACTATATAGTATGTCAGCTGCAAACATAATTTATTTTCTTACTCCTTGCCATGGCAGCATCACCCCGACCGTACGTGGAGCGGTGAACGTATTTTTATATATTTATACACATGCAAGTATATATGATCTTGATCTACATGACGCAACGAAATGTCTGGGTGGGTTTCCGACCCGAGACCAAAACAGAGAACAGAACTCAGATGCATTTGTAGTGTACATTTCGTCAATACCTTTTTTTATTAATTAAAAAGCAATCAAGAATAATGAGTAATATTTTTAAACAAAGTGTATTGTATATTTTTGGAGATTTATTATTAAGCTCTTATATTTAAAATGCAATAAAAACAATGTCTTTGTATGGAGAAAGTTAAGTGTTTTACTTTACATTTGGATTTCACTTTTAATTGAGCGGCGAAATCAATGACATTTATACATTCGTACATATTTCAAGATATCTTAGTAGTTTGGTCTGATCTGTAAATTCAGGACCAACCAGACCTATATATTTTGATTTATATCCTAATTGCTACATGCTTAGGTACTTACAAATATTATTGAATTTTAAATTCATCATGTGACACTTACAAGTATTTTTTTTTTGTAGATGAGTCAGTAAAGGAGCAAATCTTAAGCAATAGTTTGATTTGATCTTCTTACTTGAGACCAAACATTTCTATAGCTATGGTCTTAAGTACTTACAAGTAAAGTTGAATTTACAATTCAACTTGCAACATTTGTATTACTCTAATAAATACGGCCTTGGCTCGCAGTTTATTACTTTACACCAATCATTCAAATTGGCAAAGTGTTTAAGTACTTAAAAAATTTACAAATATAAATTTAAATCTCAAAATGCGATATTTATATATATACTTTCAAATGGGTCAGTTAAGTTGTTTCATTTAATCAATAGGTTTAATGTGGTCTTCAAAATGAGGAGGACCCTTTAAACCCATTGAAGATTTCTGAATTACTTAACATATCAGTTAAATTTAAAGTTCAACTGGCAACATTAATAAATTTTATCGAATAATCCACTCCTTAGTAATTATTATTTAAAAATATCGTTGAATTCCGTATTCAACATTTCCCAAAATCTTGGTTATATCGATTTAGTCAAAATAAATTCCCACTAGGGAGATTTTCCACTTTATTACTTTTTTTCCTATTCAACATTTGTTCCGATTATAAAACATATTAGAAAATAATATGCCAAATGGCAAACAAATTCAGCTCTGTTCTTGTCCAGCCGTAAATAGTTGTTATTTTGTAGTTCACTTCAGTGTGACTATGACAAAGTCGCGTTTTAAACGCTGTTCTAGTCTAATGTAAGGTATTTTTCATTAAAAAATAGGGTACATTTAAGGAAAATAAAAAACTAAAAGTAGGGGGCACTTCAAAACGATTCTTCTTGGTCGTTTTGGGTGCGGGTTTCCGTTTAGGATTAGGTGTGGGTTTTGTGTATGTGATGGCTCTCGAAGACTCAGTCTTGGCATTCTCTGGTTGAGGGAGGGTTGTGTTACTTTAAATCTAGCTTATGGCGTCCGGTGAGCAGCCATTCCCCCCGTCTCTTAGTTCTCCTTTTTGGCCGCCTCTGGGCGGCGCAGGAACTTCACCTTTGTGGTGGCGCACATGGACACAATGGCCACCGAAAGCCAGGCGTGCGGCATCATGTTGTGCAGTATCAGCTCCAGACGCTCCTTGGGCACAAACGCCATGCACTGGCTGTGATCCGTTTCGGAGCAATTGTCCTCGGGCTGGCAGGCATTGAGTGGATCGTTGGCGGGAACACCTGGAACGGGCCGTGTCACGGGTATCACGTCCTTGCCCGGTCCCTTGTAGAGCGCTCCAGTGGCGCTCAACAGCTGGGCGACCAATCCGAGGCGGAAGACCTGCAACTGCCTGGCATTGTCGTTGACCGCCTGGATCACCGAGTTCGTCATGTTGGCCGTGTTCTGCATGCACTTGGGGGTCAGCAGCAGCTCCGAAACACTGGGGCAATCGGCCAGCATTGCGCTGAAACCCTCGTCCACATCGAAGTTCACCAACTCCAGGCGACTAACTCCGCCAGCGAGGGACACGCCGCGCATTATTTCGTTTACGGGCAGAGCGGTCATGCCCCTGTGATCGTTCTCCAATCGCAACGAGCGCAGCGCCTTCAAGGCGGGCAGCACTCTCGTCCCAAGCAGCCTGCAGTTCACACCCTGGCAGAAGCCCAGGGATAGTGACTCCAGATTGGTGAGCTCCTTCAGCAGCAGCACATTCATCTTGCCCAGATTCGACACTCCACAGAGACTCAATTCGGTGAGTTTCTTCAGTTTTCCCAGCGTGTTCAGCGAACTTATGGTTGCCTTCGGCTCCGTCATACGAATGCGCAGAACTCGCAGCTCGCGCAGCTCCTCCGAACGCTCCAGATGCGACAGACTAAGCGAGCCACTCATACAGGTGGTCCGCAGCTCCAGCAGCTGGTTCAGATAGCGAAAGACTAGGTGCAGGAACTCGGCATCCGTGGTGTCGGTGCGCAAAACTCGCAATGACTTGAGCACACGCAGATCGCCGGTTAAACGCAACTGCGGCGTGGCCATTATTACGCCCATCATGTCCAGCTCGCGAGTGCGACGACGCGCCAAATCGCGCAGCAGGAAAACCCAGTTGTTGATGTGCGTGTCACGCAGACAAACCGAACGCCACACGCTCATCTCGCGACTGACCATTGCCCAGGTTTTGCACACCTTCGACATGTTGGCCCGTTCCTAAAGCGAAAATTGTATTTATTGTAGATTTTACTTAATGGAAAAGTAAGCAAACCATTGTGTACCTTCAAATTCATTGTTTTCATGATGGCCGTCAACACCTGACAGCCATTGTGGGCATCGCCCAGGCTCAGCACCACTTCGTCGCTCGACTTTTTCTTCTCATCCATTCGCTTCGGATGTTTCTTCTCCGGCTGGCGAGGAACACTGCGAATCGAATGCGATAAACCATAGAATTTTAACCATTAGTTGGGGGTTTCGTTGGCTCCATTTAGCCTTGGAACTAAACCGACTCACACTTTAACTTGCTGGCGCGGTGGATCGGCCTTGATCGCTATGGCTTTCCGACCCCCAATCACGACCACCTCCTGTTCCTTCGACCCGTTGTGTCCCACATTGTTAAACAGATGCGCCGGTGGATTCTGGCCGGATACCTCAATTTCCTCGCCGATCTCCAAGCCGCTGCCCAAACTGGATTTCTCATCATCCTCAGTCTGGTCATCGCGATCCTGATGATCCTGATCAGCCACCGGTTGTGTCTCGCCCGTTTCAGATTTCCTTTTCCCCTTCATCAGGCAGTTCTGCAGGGAGAGCAAATGATTCCTATTTGTATCTATTCCTTTGATAACCCAAGGATAAACTCACCTGACACATTTTGCCCTTGGAGCTCCGCTGGGTTTTGGGCAACTGCACAGTGACCTGGCAAGAAAAACAGGTCTCATGGATCATACGCGCCGAAGGTCTATTCGCAAAGCTAATTGAGGTTGGGAATGGTGAGCAAATGATTAGCAGATTCAAAAGAAAGTTGCATTAATGACTTAGCTACCTGCGCTTGGGAGTCAAACTGTAATCTCCCGATGGATTGGCATTCGAGCTGCTGCTGCTGCCGTTGCTGGCGGAGGCCATCTCACGAGCGTTTCCCTTGACCGCCATGGTGGAGGTCCATCCCTCGCTCGGCGGACTCGCTCCCTTGGGCACCTTCGGTTTGGACACCCGCTTCCCGGTGACCAGCTGCGTGGCCAACTTGTCCTGATGCAGCTGCAGCGACTTGCGATGCGACACATTGCCGGGCACAGCTCGACGCACCAACTCGAACTCCGGTCCCGCCTCCTGCGCCAGCCGCTGGAAACAGAAGTGCTCGATGGTCAGGTCGCCCTTCAGCAGGGGCACAATATCCTCGCGTGAGCGCAGCTTGCGTCCGTTGGGCGCAATAAAGAAGACATCGCCGGTGCGACGCTTGGGATTCCCGTTGCTGGGCAGGACGAGCTCACGCTTCCAGCCGTAAGCAAAGGGCAGACGATAGAACTCGTCGGTGGCCTTTAACTTTAGCGCTGATGTCGAGGCCTGTGGTTCGGGTTGTGGTGGCATGGCCTCAGCTGTGGTGACAACATCTGGTTCTGGCTTATCGTTGCTGCTGCTGCTGCTGGTGGTTACAAGTTCCTCCTTGCTCTTGCTCTTGGTTTGCTCCTCCTCTGGCTTGGACTTCTTTTCCTCTGGCGCCAAGTTCTCCTCTGACTCCCTTAGCTTTTTCTCCGCTTTGCGCTTTATCATCTCCTTGGGTTCAATCTCCTCCTTCTCCAATTTAGTCTGATCCTCGGTCAGGTGACCATGGCTGCTGGAGCGCGAAGTGCGCAGCGGCAACTGCGGTTCAGAAAGGGAGTTACCAAGCGATTTGGCACGCTGTGAGAAGCGAATGGACACCGTTTGGTTAGCATTCTCAGCCGTTTTGTCAACATCCTCCTCCTTATCCTTCTTCGTATTCTCCTCCACCGCCTGGTTGATCGGTTTTCTAACAGGAAGTAATGCGCGTTTACGTGCACGAGAGAGCGAAACCCACGGCGGCGGTGATGTCAACATATGGCTATTTATCTGGTCATTATCCTCGGGGATTTTGTTCTCCTCTCTATTCTTTTTCTCTTCAACTTTATCGTCGGCTTGTTTTCCAGTGGGACTTAGTAAGCGCTTTCGGGAACCGGAAAACGATGGCGGCGACGAAGATAACTTCTCGGTTTTTGATTTACCATCATCCTCGTCCATTGCAAGCGGCTCAGTTCGATCGTCATCCTCTGACGGCTGCTTTAGCTGCTTCTCCTTGGTCTTCGCTGGCTGCTCCTGCTGCTGCTCCTTTGTCTGCGACGACTGCTCTTGCTGCTGCTCCGGAGTGTTTAAAGACTTCTCCTTCTGCTCCTGCTGGTCCTGTGACTTCATCGACTGCTTCTTCTAATTGGGACGACACAAGGGGAATATATCAATGTTATTAGGTTATGGAATTGCCCGAATCTAAGCAGAATCTTTGGTTTTTGTCTCCACCTGGTTGTCTAGTTCTGTTTGTTGCATGCTCGATGCTTTGGCTGTGGTTGTTGTTGTTGTTGTTGTTGTTGGACTAGCGTTGGAGTTGTTCTTGTTGTCGCTGTTGCAAGCTGTCGTATTTGTTGTTGTTGTAGTTCGATTTGTACTAGTTGTACCAGTTGCTACTAAAGTGTTTGGCTGTCCCGGTTCGGGTTCGGGTTCGGGTTCGCGTTCTCGTTGCTGTCCAGGTGGCGTCGATGTGGTGGTCAAGTTCGAGTTGGAGGACAGAGAGGACGACTCTACCGGCGATGTCATCATCGGCGTTGGAGGCGATGCTAGCGATGGCTGCTGCTGCTGCTCTTGTTGCTGCTGCTGCGCTTGCCGCTCATGTTGCTCCTTGGCCGTCGACTCTGTGGAACCACCAGCCGCTGTCTCCTCGCGCGGCACCTCTCTGGGATAAATCCGCAGACCAGTCTTGAGTGCTCTTCTCAGCGCCTATTGTCGAGTGGTGGTTGTAATTCGTTCGGTTGAGTGTGAGATTAAGAAGATGGGCACACACAGGCACGGTTGATACATACAATAATACAGAACAAACAAAATGCCGTATTCCGCATTCTACACAACATACACAGAATTAGGAGCAGCCATAGCCCTCTGTATACCGTATACTCAATTTTGTTGCAATGCAAATAGATAACCCCTTGTGCCTGCCTACACACAAGGTATGTCTGTACAAACATATATACAATGAATATGTAATTTGAGTACAAAAAAAAGAGCTTCTGAGTTGTTCCTAATTATTTACAATTACTATTTTGAATACATCAACTTTTTTTTGGATTTAAAATAAATGATATCATGATAGAGCACAAAATATAATGAATAATATCAAAACAAGAGATCATAAATATAGGTGGTAATTGATTTTACTAGCCCATGCTTGAAGTATACAGAGGGATATTCCAGGTTCGCTTCCTTGCTCCACGACTCCGACAACCCGCTACTCACCTCATCGCTGGGATCCTCATCGGAGCTATTATCCTCGATAACCATGCGTGTCATACTCGGGATGCTGCCTGTCCACCCCAGTAGAGCCTCATCATCAGACATGCTGCACCGACGTTTCTTTATCTTCTTTTTCGACTTACCAGGATCGCCTTAAAATAAACAAGGTATAACTAACTATGCTGACTTGAAGTTCTTATGTTTAATTTAAGAAGAAGGTGACAAGGCTAGATCAAGACTTACAAACCAATTCACTTTCTTGATATAACATTGCATACTACTTCAAGGAATGCCAATTATTTATCGCAATCAGTGCACTTTCCCTTCATCGCAGATTTCAAAAACAATGTTTTGTAAACGTGCAAATATCTTTAACATGTTATGACAGACCAAGCATCCCGCTCACTCTCATTGGTTGTTATGGAAGCGATTCTTGCGGGCCAATAACTTATCCATCTTGCTCGCTCAAGTTAGCTTTTCATGAAAAGGACATTTCGTTACGTGCCTAATGAGAGGAAACGAGATGTACGTCTTGTCAAAAACAAGGAATATGTTTACCGAACTCCAAACACACCTAACCTATTCTTAACAGAAAACATATTTTCCACTCACCATTTGTGTCCGCTGCGGTTGGCTGATCGGAATTATTGGAGTCATCGTGGCTGTGGCCATTTATGTGCGGCCATGAAGAGTTCGTCGAGTCATCCAGCTCACTGGCAGATGTCTCCATGGCCTTGAAACTGGCATTTTCCGAAAGTCCTACGCCGGGACTTAATCCGCCGATCTTAGTGGCTCCGGATGTGGATCTGGAACCGATTCCCTTGCTGGTCGTCGGAGGCGACGAGGGCTGTGATTTTGAATCGCTGCTGGAGCTGCGTGGAGATCGCGTCATGGTGCGCGGTTTTGATGGTCCGGAAGTGTCGTCTTCCGAGCTCATATCGCTTTAAAAGAAACGCGAACAAGTCAACAGGGTATTCTTAGTTAAAACTTTTATTATAAGGCTAAGTAGTACCGATGTTTTAGTAACAAAAAATTTATTTATCTGAAATTGAAAGGACATCACCACCATGTGCCGCTTATTTTGTTTTGCACTGTTGATAAGTTGCCACCTGTTTTTATGAATGCCACAAAACCGAACCATAAATGACAGGGCAGCTATGAAAACTGGATGACCTTGCCTTTTTTCAGGATTTCTTTTAAGGAAATTAAAGTTTATGATGTTAAATATGCAACTGCAGTAAACATATCGAACGCTGAACTTTTACTCAACTGCAGTATTGACTGTTGTTATTTGCTTCTTGGCAAATTTGAGTGCTCATAATTTTTTTTTTTTGGTGGCATAATCTGTAGATGCAGCCAGAGCTTTGTGCATCTGGATGCGCGCGCCAGCCTCAACAAATTTTGGAGAAGAGCTTACAGGTACACGCAGGTTTGCTTGCATGTATTTGTGCGCGCGTCGCAGCGGTTTGTTTATGTTCCGTTTTTGCTTTGATCGCTACCCCCTCAGTTTGTGTATGCATTTTATCCGATGAAAACACACAAACACATACGCACGGATTTGCAAAAAAAACGGCTTGTTGCGCTCTTTTATCAAATGCACAATAGGAAGTTGTGGAAATCACACTTTTCAGTTATTTTTTATTGCACTTTAAACCACTTATTAAGCCATATTTCCATTTACTGCTCTTTTGTCTTTTATATATTCTCGGCGTAACGCGAACTTGGGACGCAGGAATCAGCGTGCCTTTGTGTATGTGTGTACGAGACGCCAAAAACGAGGCCGCAAATTGCACTTTTTACACTTTCCGTAGCCGTTGCACATTCTCTAGTTGTTGCACTTACCTCTTCCGTACAAAAATAATTACCACAACAAGAATCCACTCGCTTTAAGAAAAAAATTAAAATGAAAAGAACGCTGTTTTTAGGGATGTCGCAAATAAAATATCGATATATTGATAATATTTTTAAAAATCACGATATTTTGTGCCGAAATATCGCATACGTTTTTTCCAAGAGCGCCTTTGAACCTGAACCAAACGATTTGAAAGTCAAATATACATACTTATGTACATATCTTTAAAATGGTAATCTAACGCAATAAAGATTTTGATTTTCGCATCGATATAGTTTTCTTTCAAATCCCAAATACACGCAATTCCTAAATTGATAATTCCTGTCATTGATAAGTACTCCTCCTGGCCTAGACTTTTAAATCAAAAAACAAAGCTCTGAAAAAAATTTTGGTTTTAAGCTACGCTTTTGATTTGTTTAATATGTTGCGAAATTGAGAAATCATCTAACGACGAGTTGATTTTAAAATCCAACCCATGAATAGCTCCAATTAAAACCACACTGCAATCCCTCAGCCCCAAAAATACCAGATAGCCGTCAGCCCCAAAAATACCGCGTGCCAATCAGCCCTGGTCAACACAACTGGTTGTACGTATGTATGTATGTCGCCCGTACTACATACCTATATACTATTGCCAGCTCTGCACGTGAAATCCGAAGGCGGCGAAAGTAATCTGTGATCAATTCGGTGAGTTTGCCGTTTGCCCATGCGATCCTTGTGCCATATAATATAGTTAATACCCCGTGCAGAAATGTCCAAGGCCAGGGGAAAAAGAAGGAGCGCTTCGATGACGACGACGAGCAGTTGGAGAAAGTGCAAGAGAAGAAGGCGCCGCCGACGACCAAGAAGGGTGGTGGCAAGAAGGGCAAGCGAGGGGGCGGCGGCGATTCCAGTGATGAGGATGTCGCGCCCAAGAGTCGCGACAACGAGGATCTGGAGAGCATAGCCTCCTCGAATCAGAGCAAACAGCAGCAGGGCAAGAAGCAGACGAAGAAGGGGAAGAAGGGCAAAAAGAACGACGACTGGAGCGACGAGGATGAGAAGCCAGCGAAGGGTTTGCCCAACCAGGATGAGGATGACGACGATGAGGCGCCTGCATCGAAGCCAGCTGCCAAAAAGCCACCGCCGAGCAAGAAAAACAAGAAGAACAAAAAGAAGAACGATGATTTCTCCGACGAAGAGGTGGCCGAGGTGGATTTGGACGAACCCGAGGACGAGGAGGAGGAGGAGATCGTCGTGGCCGCCAAGCCCGCTTCCAAGAAGTCCAAGAAGAAGCAGCAGCAGCAGAAGAACAAGTTCGCCATGAGCGAGGATGAAGATGAAGAGGAGGCCCTCGAGGATCTGCCAGATGAGGAGGACGAGGAGGAGGAGGAGCAGCTATCCAACAAGCCGGCGTCGAAAAAGTCCAAGAAAAAGCAGCAACAGCAGAAGCAGAAACTGCCAGTGAGCGAGGACGAGGAGGAGCTTGAGGATGAGGACGAGCAGCCCGAAAAGGAGGTGGAGGAGCAGAAGGTGGAGCAAGTGCTCAGCGAAAAGGTGGCTGCAGTGAGTCTCAAGGAGAAGACCCCTGAAAAGCAACCAGAACCGGAAGCTATCGTGGAACCCGAACCGGAAGCTGAGGCAGAAGCCGAAGCCGAGGACGAGCCCAAGTCCGAGGACAGCAAGGAGACCAAGGAGAAGCGGCTCACCCACAAGGAGAAGAAGAAGCAAAAGAAGCAGCAGGAATACGAACGCCAAATGGAGCTGATGACCAAGAAGGGCGGCGCTGGGCACTCGGATCTGGACAACAATTTCACCATGTCGCAGGTGCAGAAGAGCGCCGGTCAACAAGCAGCTTTGGAGCACGCCGTGGACATCAAGATCGAGAATTTTACCATCTCTGCCAAGGGTGAGTCATCTTCGTGGCCTTTCCATGGCGTAATGCATATTTATCATTTGTACTTTAATTAGGTAACGATTTGTTTGTGAACGCCAATTTGTTGATTGCCCACGGACGTCGCTATGGCTTGGTGGGTCCCAATGGACACGGCAAGACCACGCTGCTCCGGCATATTGCCACCCGTGCCTTCGCCATACCGCCCAACATTGATGTGCTGCTCTGCGAACAGGAAGTGGTGGCCACCGACAAGACGGCCATCGATACGATCCTCGAAGCGGACGTGCGACGCACAGAGATGCTGAAGAAGGCTGATGATTTGGAGAAACAGTTTGCTGCTGGGGATTTGAGTGTTCAGGAGGAGCTCAACGATACGTTCGCGGAGCTGAAAGCCATTGGCGCTTACTCGGCAGAAGCGCGTGCCCGGAGAATCCTGGCCGGTTTGGGTTTCAGCAAGGAGATGCAGGACCGGCCCACCAACAAGTTCTCCGGTGGCTGGCGCATGAGAGTCTCCCTGGCCCGAGCTCTGTATCTGGAGCCCACGCTCCTCATGCTCGACGAGCCGACCAATCACTTGGACCTTAACGCTGTCATCTGGCTGGACAACTATCTGCAGGGCTGGAAGAAGACCCTCTTGATTGTGTCCCACGACCAGAGTTTCTTGGACAACGTGTGCAACGAGATTATTCACTTGGACCAAAAGAAACTGCAGTACTACAAGGGCAACTACTCGATGTTCAAGAAGATGTACGTGCAGAAGCGTCGCGAGATGATCAAGGAGTACGAGAAGCAGGAGAAGCGTCTGCGCGAGCTGAAGGCCCACGGTCAGTCGAAGAAGGCGGCGGAGAAGAAGCAAAAGGAGTCGCTCACGCGGAAGCAGGAGAAGAACAAGTCGAAGCAGCAGAAACAGGACGAGGATGAGGGACCGCAGGAGCTGCTGGCCAGGCCCAAGGAATACATTGTCAAGTTCCGTTTCCCGGAGCCATCGCAACTCCAGCCGCCCATTTTGGGTGTGCACAACGTGACCTTCGCGTTCCCGGGACAAAAGCCTCTATTCATCAAGGCCGACTTTGGTATCGATCTCACGAGTCGTGTGGCCATCGTCGGACCCAATGGTGTGGGCAAATCCACGTTCCTAAAGCTGCTCCTCGGCGAACTGGAGCCGCAGGAGGGTGAGCAGCGCAAGAATCATCGGCTGCATGTCGGCCGCTTCGATCAGCACTCCGGCGAGCATCTCACGGCTGAGGAATCGGCTGCGGAGTATCTGCAGCGCCTGTTCAATTTGCCGCACGAAAAGGCGCGCAAGGCGTTGGGTTCCTTTGGTCTCGTTAGTCATGCGCACACCATCAAGATGAAGGATCTTTCCGGCGGTCAAAAGGCTCGCGTGGCCCTCGCCGAACTCTGTCTGAGTGCTCCGGATGTGTTGATTCTCGATGAGCCGACCAATAACCTGGATATCGAGAGTATCGATGCCTTGGCGGAGGCCATCAACGAGTACGAAGGCGGCGTTATTATCGTCTCCCACGACGAGCGATTGATCCGTGAGACGGGCTGCACTCTGTACGTGATTGAGGATCAGTCGATCAACGAGATCGACGGGGAGTTCGACGACTACAGGAAGGAGGTGCTCGATTCGCTGGGCGAGGTGGTCAACAATCCCAGCGTGGTGGCCAATGCGGCTGTGCTGCAATAACCCTCGCGTTCTTGGTCACGGACTTCGAGTCCTCCACACCACAGGATATCATCTCGTCAGCCGGCTCGCACTATGTTAATTGTTCAACTGTTGAATGGTTTATCCGCTAGTTAGCCTTTTTATACCAACATATATACAATAACAAATTGTGAAAGTAAATGTTATTACACAAGAGTTGCGTTCTTTTCTTATCAATATTTATAGAAAATAGGGGAACCGTAGGAGGTGTTATCAATTGAATATATTATTTAATACATTTCAAAGATTTGTTTGTTTATGCTTAAATATTTATTAGTTGCTCAAAAATAAGAATGTTTTTGGGTTTTAAATATAATTTCTTTTGAATTTGGAAATAACCTTGTGGAAAGTTTAATGGCTTATTGCCATCAACTGAAAGAACGAATTCTTACCATAACAAAATCAAAAGCAATTTTATATTTGAGTTGGCCGGAAATTGTATAAACACAATAATATGTAGTAAAGCAAACAATTGCTCAATTTTAAATTTTATTCAAGCAGGTTGAAAAGTATTTGAGAGCGGCAAAAAAAAAATGTGATAAGAGGATTAAACCTACATATAATACTTATATATTAATGGACTTAAGAGGATAATAGATTCTTAGCCGCTGCGATAAAAGGCTTTGACATTGTTGATCAGGTGGCTCAATCCATTGTAGCCATCTTTATCGAAGTCGATGTTCTCGCCGCCAAATTCAATGACCTGAAAGATGAGAATAGTGTTTAAAACCTTGTAGCTTTCAAATAGAACTCCATTGAGCAATTGCACCCACCTCCTTGGCTCTGATGGTGTCTGCCCCATGCGGCACTCCAATCACCTCCACCCAGGCTCCGTCGGCGGCACCGAGTTCGCCCGGCAGGTTGATCTTCAGCTTGTGGTTGTCCGTGGAACTGGCCAGCAAAGTGGATCCCGCCACGCTTTCCACGCGCACCATTATGCTCACGGTTTGGCCGGAAAACTGCTTCAGCATTCCGCCGTTAACAATCGAACGTGGATCAAAGGGGTCCATTGCTTTTAGATTAATTTGCGAAGTTTGCGAAATTCAGCAGAAATAAAATGCCGTAAACAAGAAAGAGCGCCAATAGAGCTGTCAAGCCATCGATGAAAAATTCGATAGCTGAGTGAACTATCGATGTTATTTAAATATGCTTTTTTATATTCAAAACATATGGTGCTTAAAACATTATTTGTTATGGGATGTCACAATCGGCCATTTATATATTAGTATATATTGTTTGATAAATTAAATAACTTTGGTTAAATTGTGCTTTAGGGGTTTTTGCTAAAAATGGGATAGGATTTTTTTTTAAGCGCTACCTTGGGACCTAAACATGAATGAAAAAGTGCCGCAGATCGTGATTTCTAATTATTTTTTTATAAAAATTATAAAAAAGAAACTGGCCGTAGCGTTTCTGGATCATTTCGCAATCTTTACAGCGTTCACTTCTTAAATTTTCAGTGCCTGTCATGGTGAAGTTATTATTTTTTTTTTGTTTTTAAACTTTTCACACATTTGCAGCACTCTTCGTCCACAATAATTAGAAATCAAGCTCTCCGCAACTTTTTTATTAATGTTTAGGTCCCAAGGTAGCTCTTAAAACCAACAAAATTCCTAGCCCATTTTCAGCAAAAGCCCCTCAAGCACACTTTTACCATAATTTTTTTTCCAATGGTTGATTCTTTCAAAATATTGTAAGATGTTTTCAGGTTTAAAAATTAACTTTTTAAAATTTTGAAGTTATTCAAAATTCCCCATAAAATGACAGTAAAAACATCGATACCATGCAGAATGACCTAGGCTGACCGAAAATGCGGAGTGGTATGAAACTGCTGATTTTAGCGGGGCAACCCGTTAGATCGATATACGTATCGATAGTTTTTAGCCTGGCCAAACGCACCAATGTTTATTGTTATAAAATAAATGTTAAAAATAAACAATTAATCACTTAAGATAAACAAAAACTAGTGCAAGCAGCAAGTGCGTTGTAAAAACGATCCCCGCCCTCCGCTCTTACCTCATCACGGGCATAAAAAATAAGCACAAAAACAACAACGCCAGCAGCAGCAACAACAAAAACAATAACCAGGAGATTCAGATTCGCAACGCAATCAAAAAAAAGGCAAAACGGAGAAAAAAAAAACTACAAGGCGAAACGCATAAATAAATAGGAAAACAAATAATAGTAATAATAAGACTAAAAGCAAGTGGAAAAGTACGAAAGCAAAAAGAGAAAACATATGTACGTTGCGTGAGAGTGACGTGTGTGTGTGTGTGTGCGAACGAGCAAGAGAGAGAGGGGAGGAAGGAGAGCAAAAACAAAAACAACATCACAGCATAAGCGAGACCTTGAAAACTTTAAAAGCAGCAGCAAAAACAACAAACACAAAATCCAAAAAAACAGCAGTACAAAAAAAATTAAAAAAAAAAAGTTTAATATAAAAAATATATACTTTTATATACAATTCGTAGAGGAGCGGAGCGTACACTCTGTTATGGAGAGTGACGATTTTCATTTACCGCAAGGCGCCAATTAATAGGGGAAAATCCATAAAGCGAGGATTTGCCAAGAGGAAAAGCGTGGACGAACCGCCGCTGAAAAGGCCAAAATGGCAGCAGCAGAGGCGGGAAACACGGGCACAGGGTCGGGATCGGGATCCGGATCAGGATCGAGCAGCTCCTCGGATCCTGCCAACGGACGGGAGGCCCGCAATCTCGCCGAGAAACAGCGGCGGGATAAGCTAAACGCCAGCATTCAGGAGCTGGCCACAATGGTGCCACACGCAGCGGAATCCTCCCGCCGGCTGGACAAGACCGCCGTCCTGCGATTCGCCACCCATGGCCTGAGACTCCAGTATGTGTTTGGCAAGTCCGCCTCCCGCCGGCGACGGAAACCGATCCTCAAGGGCTCGGGCTCATCGCCCGGCATTGGCGAGCTATCCAATCCCAGTCTGCACCTCACGGACACGCTGATGCAACTGCTGGACAGCTGTTTCCTTACCCTGACCTGCAGTGGCCAAATCGTTTTGGTCTCCTCCAGCGTGGAGCAGCTCTTGGGCCACTGTCAGTCGGATTTGTACGGCCAGAACCTGCTGCAGATCACCCATCCCGACGATCAGGCCATGCTGAAGCAGCAGCTGATACCGCGGGACATTGAGACCCTGTTCTACCAGCAGCAACATCACCAGCAGCCGGGTCATAATGCTCAGCAGCACTCAACTTCCACGTCGGCTTCCGCATCGGGCAGTGATCTGGAGGAGGAGGAAATGGAGATGGACGAGCATCGCCTGGGTGATGACCACCAGCAGGAGGACGAGAATGAGGAGCAGGATCATCCGTACAACCGACGAACGCCCAGTCCGCGGAGCATTGCCCATTCGGCGGCCATCGATGAACGACTGCGATCCGATCGCCGTTGCTTCACTGTCCGATTGGCCAGGGCTTCCACGCGAGCGGAGGCGACGCGCCACTACGAGCGGGTCAAGATCGACGGCTGCTTTCGCCGCAGTGACTCCTCGCTGACGGGCGGTGCCGCTGCCAACTATCCCATTGTCTCCCAGTTGATTCGGCGCTCGAGAAACAATAATATGCTGGCTGCCGCGGCAGCGGTGGCAGCGGAAGCGGCGACAGTGCCGCCGCAACACGATGCCATTGCCCAGGCGGCGCTGCACGGGATCAGTGGGAACGACATTGTCCTGGTGGCCATGGCCAGGGTTCTGCGGGAAGAACGCACCGTCGCCGAGGAGACGGAAGTCAGTGGCATGACCTTCTATCGGCAACCAGAACCCTACCAGTTGGAATACCAAACGAGGCATCTAATCGATGGCAGCATAATCGACTGTGATCAGAGGATTGGCCTGGTGGCGGGCTACATGAAGGATGAGGTGCGTTTTTGGATACGAAATCCCTTTGCAGACGACTCTTAATCTTTGTTCTTTTGATTCCGAATTAGGTGCGCAACCTGAGTCCCTTTTGCTTTATGCATTTGGACGATGTCCGCTGGGTGATTGTTGCTCTGCGGCAGATGTACGACTGCAACAGCGATTACGGCGAGAGTTGCTATCGTCTGCTGTCCCGCAACGGACGCTTCATCTACCTGCATACGAAGGGCTTTCTGGAGATCGATCGCGGCTCCAATAAGGTGCACTCCTTTCTCTGCGTCAACACGCTGCTCGACGAGAAGGCGGGCCGGCAAAAGGTGCAGGAGATGAAGGAGAAGTTCTCGACAATCATCAAGGCGGAGATGCCCACGCAGAGCAGCAGTCCCGATTTGCCAGCCTCGCAGGCGCCACAGCAACTGGAGAGAATCGTGCTTTATCTGATCGAGAACCTGCAAAAGAGTGTGGATTCGGGCGATGCGGTCGGCGGCCAACCAATGGAGAGCCTAATGGACGATGGCTACAGTTCGCCAGCGAACACATTGACCCTCGAGGAGCTGGCGCCATCGCCCACGGCACCCACTTTGGCCTTGGTGCCGCCGGCTCCGTCGTTGGTGAAGAACTCCATCTCGAAGTCGGTGAGTGTGGTCAATGTGACGGCGGCCCGAAAGTTTCAGCAGGAGTATCAAAAGCAACGCGAGCAGCTGAAGGAGCGCAGCAACGTCTCGCAAGGAGTGATACGGCAGTTGAGCAGCTGCCTCAGCGAGGCGGAGACCGCATCCTGCACACTTTCGCCGGCCAGCAGCTTGAGTGCCGGCGAAGCGCCCGATACGCCGGAGCCACACAGCAATACGCCGCCGCCACAGCCGCTCCACGCGCGTCCCAGTGTCCTGCATCGCACCCTGACCAGCACGCTGCGATGACGGGCCGACGGGTGTGGAAATGGACGCCGTTTGGCAGCCCACATTCGGTGACGTTCATACATTAGCCATGTCCAAAAATATATCAGCAAAACAAACATAATCTGCCCCTAAAAAGGAAGTCAGTCGAATCTTTGGTCTTTAGAGACCGTAAGCATGATTAGGCATCAAGTTGAATCGATTTGATAAGGTTCATTCAGAAAGCCAGAGCATGTAATTAAATAGAGTAAGCACTTCTTGAAATCAGCCAAAAAACAATGTGGTTCCTAGAACCCCCTTTTTGTCTAACAATTTATTTTTGCAACTGGCTTTTAGATTTTCAACATTTGAGTATATAATTACACAACCAATATAAAGCGAACAGAACTCACAAGTTGTAATCAAAGCGATTCTGTAATTTTACTTACTTATATAGGGATTCCCGCCAAATCTGGTTTTAAGCACTTACTTTTTAACTTGTTCAATATGCATTCTTTGTTGTATACCAAAAACAAACTTAGGTTTCTATATTGTACATATTGTTCGGATATCTGAAAGCGGTTTTCTTGTTGTTTAAAAATAACTATGTTTTTGTGAAGAATCGACGAAATCGACGAGGCGCATTTAGTTTGAGATTATGGCAGTAATAATTATCTGATCACGATTATCGTTAGAAAGTGCCTCTAACTGAGTAATAGAAGAGATACATTTTGGACATGGGCTATCGCTGATTTTACACTATAATTCGATCTGAAACAGATCGATTACATGTCAAAGCGTCGATCGGTGTGTGCTGCTAAATGCGTTCCATAATCAATAATCTTCGTTATGTAATTACGTTTAATTTGTAAATACGTATGTGTGGGTGATTGCCAGTGCGTGTGCGTGTGTGTGTGCATGAGTGTGTTAGAATAGTAGATCAGTGCTCGGCTTTGGTTTTAGTTGAAATTTAAACCCCATTTCCCGATTTCCTTGTTATCACCACCCCCAAACCCCTGCCCCACACACCAGTGTAAAAAGAGTACAAAAAAACAACAACAAAAAAGAAAAACAACAAATTAACAATCAATTATATATTTATTTTGCCCTAAGTCTAGAACACGCTTAGAACGACTCATTAATAGTTAAACCGATTTTGCAATCGATTGAAATTAAACGCTCGATTTTTGTTTACCATCTCACTTCTAGAAAGAGATAGAGGACAGCAAACAGTCGAACTTCTCTAATCGAACTTTCCGTTAGCCTGATAAGCAGGAATTACTTTAAATTCCCTTTTAAAAACTATAACAACATAGCAGACTTTTTATATAATTGTGAATTAATAATAATTTGATAATTCAAGTAATTTAATTGTCTAGATAAAAATATGATAAATAACAAATTAATTTTTGTTCATTGTTAATAATTAACTGTCGAAAAATCTTGTATAATTTCCCAACAAAAATGAGTATAAATTACTTACATATAAACATAATTGAAATAATAAATTGAAAAGGGATAGAAATCGACATAGCGAAGTTCGACTGTTGTTCAATACTCACAATGCCAGAGATAGAGAGAGAGATGGCTCATTCCCTCTCGCTCTGGCCTGTTATCAAAGCCTTTGCCATTGTCCTTGGCGTTGCGTTCTTATCACCGGCGTATCGGCGAGAACATATAAAATTTTTTTTTTTGGGGGGAAGTGGGTTTAGTGGTAATTATGAGGCGGTTGGTGGTTTTTGGTGGCGCGGGGCATGGTGGGCCACGTTTCGTTATTTTTTTTGTTTTATAGCGAAATTCTGCTAGCTATAAACTTAAGCATATACATATATTATTACCTTTTTGTTTAGCTCAATTTTTTGTTTGTATTTTTAATTATTACTCGGTTTGTCTAGTGTGTAATTCAATTAAAAGTCGTATGCTAATTTCCCAGCGAATCGTTCAGTGTTTGTTCAAACGAGTTGTGCTCTTTAAACACTTTTGGTTTATCCGTCTTTAAATTTTTGTTTGTTTTTGCTTGCGTTGTTATTTGCCCAAAAAAAAAAAAAAAAAAACAAAGCAAAATTTGTGTCGTTTTTTTTTTTTTTTTAGTAATTAGCTTTAGATGTAATGTCAAATGTCAAGCGGTATAATCTACGTAAGAATAATAATGTGTAATGTCTTTTTTAGAACTTGCTAAACTCTAGCAATTAAAACATAGCCTGTAATTAACAATAATTAATTATAATAATCAATAAAAATTCATGCAGATGAAACGTTAATAAATAATAAATTATATAAATGAAAAGAACAGCTTTTTTTGGGGACAATCCAAAATGTGGAAACCTTACTTAATGTTTCCAATACACTTTATAATACGGATTACCAAATTCTTTCAAATTTACCGCCAATTGGGAAATATAATCCAATAGGAAAACTTACCTGGCGATTGAAATGGTGAGTATGAATGTTTGTTAGAAGAGTACAACTAGCTTACTGTAGGTTTGAATGGCTTTGGCGCCCATGCAACCAACTAGATAACTATTCTGTTAACCTTAATACTAGGTCCAACAGAGTACAAGAGAGGTACAGCAAATATTATCCATCAAATTAAGTGTTTAATATTTTACTTCGTGCTTAATATTAAAGTTAACTTAAAATGAGACTTGCAACTTAAAAGAATATTAAAGTGTGGTATCGAATGCAGGCAATTCTGAAGACAATAAATGAAGATGCTTGAGTTCGTGGTGAGTTTGAGTTAAGGTGACTTTCGGTTAGATATTTGCCAATAACAATTAAATTAAATATATTGTTTGATTTCGCGAGATTACATTAAAACAACGTTTATATAAAACACATATCAAATTATTTTGTATTAAGAATAATTTAATTTTGAACTTCCTGAGATGAGAATTTTAATTCTTATTGGATCTTATCAACTAAAAAGTTTAGTTTTTATTGCTTAATATAGGAGGATTTAGTTAGAGGAGGTTTTATAGTTTTGTTAAAAATAATTGTGCCAATTGGAAAACACCTTTCGGATCCGCGCGCTTCAAGGTGCAGCTATAGCTCTGCTCCTCGCACACCCATCAGCTGTGAAACGGGGGTGTGTAAACCCACCACAGCCACCGTCGATTATGTTGCACCGATTCGAGTTTTGTGCTCGTGTTTTTAAACAGATTAGAAAACCAGGACGAAAATTACTGCCTAATCGTTGGTTTTAAATTGAGCCAAAATATAGCGACAGTAATACTTAATTTTAAAAAACATTATCGATATATCGATAATTCGATAATTTTTCGAAACCCCCAGTTATTGTTACCGTTGTTGCCGTTGAGACCACCTTGTACTTATTCCACCATGATTCGTGAAGAGCGAACGGCAGTGCAGTAGAGCGTCGACGGACGGATAAAAACCTATTTAAGCGCTCGAACAACGCAAAATTTGACGGTGTTCCGCTCTTGCAGTGTCTGTTTCCGTCGCGTGTCTGCGTGTGCGTGCGGCTGTGTGTGTTCGTTTTTTGTTATTTTTTTTACCAACGACAACACAACAAAAATAGTAAAATACACAAAATTTCAGTGTTTAAATGATTTTGGTTTATTGTTGGCGTCCTGAATGAGAAAATCGAGAAACGCCGTGGAAAACGTATGAAATGCTGAAATAAAGCTTAAAGTAAAAGCAGAAATTGAGAGTTGTTTGTTTGTGTGTGCGTGTGTGTGCAACAATAATAACAAAAAAGAAAAAGACCGAGTGTGGAAGAGGGGGCGATGGGGGCAGACAGAGACAGAGCAAGAGAGGTAGAAGCAACACCTACGCAGCTTTTACATATTTTGTTATTTCATTTTTGGCATGCCGTTGCTTTCTCCCTTACACTCGCAGCCTCATTTGAATTTTTTTTTGGGCAGCAAATTTCTCCGCTTCCTGTTCTCTTTCGGCTTTTTTTGTTGTTTTGATTTAAAAAAGTCCCTAAAATATCAATCAATATATATTGCTAAACAACATTATCAACCATAGTAAAGAAACTTGTCCTACATTTAACAATAAATAAGAAGTGAAGAAATAGATAAATAAAACTTGTTTTGTTTTGTTTTCGAATTTTATGTGACGAGATCCATAAAGCTCCCGCTCTCTCTATATCTCTTTCTCTCGGGCAAAAGAAAAAGATCAATCAAATCAATCTGCTCTTCTCCTCCTCTCTTTCCTCTCTTTGCAACAAAGTTGAAGGTCTTTTTTGCATGGCAATGTTGCCAAGCGCCAAAAGCAACAACAGATAACAACAATAACATAAGTACACAGAGCCAAAACTGGATATATATAATAAATGCTTTCGTTTTCCAAAACTCATCATAAAAACAACTGATTCCAAAAAAATGCGAAAATGCTGTTTAAATCAACCTAAAAAATAACATTTCTTATTATATTATAACAAAATTCTTAATTTTGTTCTGTGTAGAGTGTAACTTTGCAAAACTGGTTTTGAGCCTTTTAGTTTTATTAATTTTTGGTGCTTATTTGTTTTATTTGCTGATTGCGATTTTTCAATACATATGTATATCAATGACGTCAGAGCAGGCTATGTTGTTGATAAGCAATTTATTTGCAACTACAAGAGACAGTGCAATTAATTAGCACACAACCGCGATTGATATTTAAATAAAATTAATGCATTAAGTAAGCAAACCTCCAGCTTCTCTGACTTGAATAAAACGGGTATTTTGCATTAATATATTCTTGGAATTAAATTTTCATAACTTAAAATGCCAACCTTACGATTTAGACTTTAAAAATGCTGATAAAGTGTTTATTCTAGGAAATTGTACAACAAAATTTCTTAATAATTTTGCAATCAATTTATTTTTTTATTTTTTGCAATTTCCATAACAGCCATGTATCAATTTGAAATGTAGACAGTAACCCAATAAGATAACGAAACAAGTCGCAGAAAAATATAAAAAATCCACAAAAGCTTTTGGCGCAAGCGCAAAGTCGCAGAGAAGAAGAAGAGGAAACATAGCAGGTAGAGAGCAAGACAGCAAATCTGTAGGTGTCTCATTCTTTGATTGCTCTTTATTTATATTCATAAACTCTCTTGCAGATCACAACTAAAAAAATGGTTTAATCAATTTTGAACCTGAAATCTCAACCAATTGGATCCAGTAAAATATATGTAAAAATTTACCGTGGTGACGAGAAAAAATTGTGAAAACAATGCATTTAATCAAAGTTAAGACTAAACTCGCGCTGAAAATGCACGAAATCGAAAGAAACTAGCAAAAAACCAATCCAAAAATCGCACAAAACAAAAAAGTTAAGCAAAAAAAAAAAAAAAATAAGCCAGACAACAAAAGAGAGCCAGGAGCAGAAAAAGCAACAAAAACAACAGCAAAACGACGGCCCCAAAATGTTGTACCAGCTAAGTAAAGCCACTACTAGAATCCGACTCAAAAGGCAAAAAGCCGTTCCACAACATTGCTGGCTCTGGAGTTTAGCATTTCTGGCAGCATTTACTCTAAAGGTAAGCGAAAGAAACAACAAATATGGCCAAAACACGATTGCGGGCGGATTAATAGAACCAAAACGTAGTGTGTGTCTTTGACCAAGCATAAAACAATACATTTTTTTCAATTTTATTTAACATTTGTAATTTTTTCATGGCCTCAGAGGTGCAACTTTGTATTTATTAGGTATGAAATCTTGAATTCAATGGAAGAAATAGATAACAACACAAATCTCAATTGCGGGAACTACATTTTTATTAAGTTAATGAACACAAAAAAATTACTCTATTTACTTTCTACACTTGGGTCAATTAATTCCATAAGATTCAGCAAACATTTGACCATGTTACTCATTTATTTATTTGAGATCCCATACTTTTAACCCTCATGGAAATCATCTTCGTTTTTGTCTTTGGTCTTTTCCCATGTTAATTAAATTCAATTATTTCGCATCGTGTTTGCCTTTCGTTATTGTTCATGCGGATGTATTTGTCCCTTTGTTTGGGAGCTCTAAAGACAAACAAACTCCCCCTCAATCAAAGACCTTGAGGAGCCACAAACAAAAGGAAAATCAATTCAAAAGCAAGAGTAATCAAACAAGATTTAGTATCTTGTATCTCAAGTCAAGTTTGAGAGAGATAGAAACCGAAATGCATTTTGCATTTAATAATCTATCTGTGTATCTAGTTTTGTATATAGCTTAAGCTATATCACTTGTATTCTGTATTTATTGGGGGAAAAATAGTTAAGAACCAGAATTGAAATGCATTTTTTGTTTATCTGTATTTAATCACGTGGGCAATATTTTTAATTGATACCTCGTGCCGAATCGGTAACGGTTTCTGTTTTGCATAACAATAATTTCATAACCGATTACCTGATTTTGTGCATCCCCAATTTTTAGTGATGAAATCGGTAAGACTTGCAATTTTCTTAATCGTATTCGACTTTTGCAGTTATGCACGAACTCCATTTTCATAAAGGCAGCAACACAAAGCAAACAAATAATGGCTAATAGCTTTAGCCACTATTTTTTTTTCTATTTTCAAAAGAATAGTAAACACAAATCGCTGTAAAAGTAGTCGACGTACGTTATTCAATACTGTTTATCCCTGGGCTTAGTTTGTGTGTAGAACTATTTTCATTTTATTGAAGTCGATCTGTATTCTAAATGAACTGGATACCACTGGTAATTATTGATTACAGATGCGGGACCGACTTGACATGAATTCTAAGCCGGCAGCGAACCGGTTCGAATTCGATTTCAGTTTCGTTTTACATTGACGAATTTTTTTTTATTCGCTTGTTTTTATTTGCTTAACAAAATTGTTGGCGCGTAACGACTACTGCTCCCCAAAATATTTCCCTTCTATTTATAAAAAAAAAAAAAAAAAAAACTAACCAATTGTTTCCCGGGAGATCCATTTCAATTGGTTTTCTAGTTGTTTCAGTTGTTCCATCGGTTGGTTTTTTTATTTGTTTTGCTGCACCGATAAATGGCTAGAAATATTTGCCGTTTTGTCACATACAATCTTAACTTATTTCGTTGCTGGTGGCCAGAAGTCACGTTCCAGTCAAATAATAAACACGAATAATATGAAGGCATTCATAAATGCAAGTTCACTTACATCAGATAGTTTTTCTTAAAAAATGATAAAATTGCGAAGAAAATTTATTGGTATTTCAGATTGAAATCAAAGAAATGATAATGAAAGAAAAATAACATTTTCGTTAACTTGTTGTTGTTAAAAATTATTAAATATAAAATCAAAGTTGTTGGTATGCCGCAGATAAAAACACTGAAGCCGGCTTAAATGATGCGAGAAATGAGGCTTACAGAAATAATTAAAAACAATTACGATTCCGGTAAGAGTCTGCGACTGGGAAAATACGGAAGTGCTGGGCAATTAAATGCAGGGCAGAATCCCAAGATGCACAACGCAGATATGCGCCCAATATTCTCACACTCCCCCCCAAAAATAAAAACAGAAACGACGGGGAAAGCCACACCCATTCCATGTTTAAGGACACGTGTCAACCGTAACAGAAACAAAAACAGGAAAGTGGGGAGAACTTTGTCCAGACTTTCGCCAGAAAGAAGAACACTCTCGAGAAGGAAAAGGTGGTAAGAAGTCAGTGCAGGATGGCAATTAAATGCAACCCTGCACTGTCATGCAATTGACACCAAAACACTCAGGTTTTCACCCCTTCCTCTGCTATAGAATACCCCTTTGTGTGTCTTGCCCACAACATAAACCCAATTTGACTTGAAAAATGTGCATAAATTAAGTAACAATTAAGCCAAGTTGTGCTTGGGCTTATTAACCCCCGGTCGGCATGACTAATTGATCTTATTCGAGATTAGCGATACGCGTTCAAGTGGAACAAAAGTGAGTCAGTTAAGTATGCAAAAAAAAAATTCCAAGGTTGTGTCGAAGCTAACTAATATTTCCCAACAGGATTTAAAGTTTTTCTGGAAAAATTGTTCAACCTTTTAAGGAACTAGAATTCAAACTTAATGATTTATAACTCCACTCGTTCTTTGGTTCCGCGGATTCTGATATTTGCCAGAAGTCTTAAAAATATCTAGCAACAATATTTTTTGATGAGTTACCACCTCGTCTCGCTGGCAAACATCAAACAGAAACTGAAAATAGAGTCGAATGCCGGAAATGCAACATCAAAATGCGAAATCCAAAATAGGAAAAATCGAAAAGAAAACGCAGAGATAATGTAGCTGCAAAGAAAATATAGTTGGCCGAAGGGGGAATGCCAACTCGATCCATTTTCGCCTTCGGTTTTTATTTCACTGATCGATTAATGCCAGAAGGAATCGTTGGCAACCCTCTTCTCTACTTTTCGAGTATAGTTTCTGATTGGAAAAAAAGGGTAGGCGGGGAATTTCGGAAAGGGGGAAATATTTGGCCCACTCCGAATTCTTCATTGTCCTGCAACAAAAGCCAGAAAAGAACCGAAAACGAAAATTGCTCTAACGGTGTTTGTTCCCGTGAGGCACTTTTCGGCTCACCCACTTCGAGGGTGACTTTTCCGCAGAACTCTCGCTATATAAAGGCACATATAAATTTATATATCGAGTTGTGCACAGCAGCGGCGAGGAAAAAAGTTTACAAATATTATATAATAACCCAACAATAAAGGGAACATTTGTTAGAAAAAAGTTTTTACCTAATTAATTATTTGATATAATTATTTTGAAATTGTTTTTGAAGCAATCAGAGAAATTTTTCTATATTCTGTACCTATTTAAAGAGTTAGTATAATCCTAGGGAAATTGATTTAGTTGAGGTTTCTGTAAAGTTTTATTAAATTCCATAATAACCTTTTTAGGAAAATGGTTAAAATTGATTTACATTTTTTTTTTTTGCTTTTTGGAATATCTGATCAATCCTATCAACATTTATACGTAAGCTTATATTTTTTTAACCTGGTCTGTATGTGCTTGTGTGTGGGTGGGTGGGTGTGCTCTATATGAAGTCACTTAATATTTAGTTTACCGTAGACATGAATCATAACTGGGGAGGTTTCTTTCATCTGCCCTGAAGAGGGGAGTTCTTATTATCGTAAGTATACTGTACGAGCGGTACAAATCGAGGGCGAGGCCGGAAGGAGACTGACGACTGACTGCACCAGATCCTGCCGCCCACTTGAGCATTATGAAAGTCATATAGTTTCGTGTATGCGAAAACTTTGTTACACGAAAATATGTCTGCTCACTAATTACGCTTACTCGCTGCTGCAGCAAAAGGTCGATAAAATGACTTGGCGCATTTGAAGAGCTGAAATCTCGTGGCCGAAAGTAGACCAAAATAGAATGACAACATATGTCTGGATTATGTGCTCTTTAAAGTTTAATCCATTTTGTAACAGAAAATAAAACCCCTAAGATTCGTGTGTACTTTACTTAAGCCCTGCAGTCAACTAAAAATATACGTTTATACTTTATACGTAAGCTGTAATTATTTTGAGAGTCACGAATTCGTTTATTACAAAACTATGAGCAAAAAAACAACTTTTTATTACCTATTGAAACATTATGAATATTATGAATAATACTTATTAACTCGAGTTGAATCCCTATTTAACAATATCCTTTGAATGCGCTCTTTTTTTTAATAATCCTCGGTTCCATTTATGATTACCTCAACTTTCCTTAATTAAAATCGATGCTCGTATATATTCTGGTCGGCAATCGTAAATCCCGATACGTTTTGTATACAGGAATTTGCAATTGCGAATGAACAAAAGCAACAAGCAGACAGGAAAATAATAAAAAACTAATGAGAAAATGCAATGGAAAATGGGTAATGGGAAATGGGAAATGGGGGTGAGGGCGTTGTTTTGCACTTGCTGTTTGCTTAATTGAAATTTATTGACTGCGCGTTTGTAAATTGTTTCATCTGCAGGCGGCGGGGGGAAAAACATTAAACAGAGGAGAACCAGATGAACCGACTGCTCGGAGAATTTATTCTCAAAAGGGTGGCCAGGAAATCGCACTCGGCATTTTCCCCACTTTTCCCCATTTTTTCCCTTCGGCTCATTTGTGAACGCCACATTTCCCCTTCGTTGACGCTTTTATAGAGTGTGGCATGCAGTTGAAAATCTCGCAAAATCATCTAAAATTCTTCCGCGACGTGGAATCACTCCATATGGACACATTAGCACCGCCGGAGTTTTCCTGGCTTGTCAATCAGTTTATTGGATAGTTCTTTCGCCCGTCGCCTGTCAGTTGAAACAGCCGACAGGTTGTCTATTTTATTCTATATTTTGACACGGCGAACAAGGTGGCTTTGGGCGGATGAAGTAGGTTGGAGTACCAGAGTGCTAGAGCGTGAACTTTGACATCGGTTTGGGGAACAAAGTATACTTAAAGAGATAAATTTAGAACATACTAAATAAGAATAATAATATTAAATAAATATTAAATGAAGATAGAAAAAAATTTACTTCAAGAGATGAATTTAGAATATACTAAATAAGAATACCAATATTAAATAAA